CTTGTCGCCGTACCCCTGCTCCTTGTCGCCGTACCCCTGCTCCTTGTCGCCGTACCCCTGCTCCTTGTCGTGGTACCCCTGCTACTAGTCGTCGTACCCCTGCTCCTTGTCGTGGTACCCCTGCTACTAGTCGTCGTTGTGGGAACCGACCTGTGAGATTTATATTTATTTAATTTATATGAATTTATATTTACGTTAATTTATATACTTCGATAGCAATTTGTATAATGATAAGTGGACTGTATTTCTGCAATAATCTCACAAATCGATCCTCTACACATTAGGGGGGTTTATTAAATTAATATATAAGCAGCCAATCAAACTACAGTAATAGACTACATACATTGAAGAGATTCCTTATCTTATTTGTACAGCAGGTATAACCAGGATGTAGACACCACATTTTCCCTCTTTGAGGTAGCTTCCATCACCCTGGTAACTGATGCACAAAGCATATGCTTCCTCGTCTTGACCTGTTAAAAGGGCGCTAGCTGTAAAGCCAGAATCCTATATATGACAGGTATATCAGAGAAAACACTATACATGGAACAATGAAGACCTGGCTTAATTACCTTTAGTTTGAGGCTACCACGTGCTCTAACCGGGACACCCTATATAATGACATTAATGACCATAAATGAAAGATACATGGGTTTCGGAAAGAACACTTAACTTGAATTTGTTGACAGCATGTTGAAGATGGTACACCTTTGGTTTCCATAACACTACGTCCAAGTAAAATTAACAGGAGCCGTATTTTCTCCCATGTGCCTCTGATCTAGTATAAACAATGGCAATGTCTAACACTCCATACTATTGACGCTACTGGCCGACATTGTCCAGATATGATAGGAGCCGAATTTGCTCCACGCGTCTCGGAGGTGACACAACAATGGCTGCCCCTCCTTCACCACTGATGCCTGGCCTACATTGTCCAGATGTCAATAAGTGATAGAAGGGTCACATTTACTCTACTTTAATATTGATAATTAAGTTAATTTATATGAGATGTTTTTCTGATGGTAAAGTCCAAAGACTAATGTATATAAGAATAATTCCCAGCAGAATAGCTGGTAAATATAATAGTATGTGGTGATGATATCCCGTTTTCTTTAGACGGTAATTCCACTACAAGTTACGTTTTCTATGGGTAACTTGTTTATACAATACAGCTATTATCTGTATGATTATTAAATGGTGTCGGATTTTCCGACAGTCGTACCCCTGCTCCTTGTCGTGGTACCCCTGCTCCTTGTCGCCGTATCCCTGCTCCTTGTCGCCGTACCCCTGCTCCTTGTCGCCATACCCCTGCTCCTTGTCGCCGTACCCCTGCTACTAGTCGTCGTACCCCTGCTCCTTGTCGTCGTACCCCTGCTACTAGTGCTGTATAATCAGGGAGCCTCTGCACTTCCTCCTGATAATTCTGTTACCTTCTGCCTTGAAATGGGAGGCGAGTACAAATCAGTATTCCGCGCGGGCGAGCACCCGTAAATATTTTGTCAAGTCTTCATATGAACGTGGAGTGAATTAACTGTGGCGTTATAAGTAGTAAGAGCCAATTTGGAATTGCCTAGAGGGGGTGGGTGGGGATGTGTTATGAAGGCTGTTGTTGTTGTTGTTTTAAGATTCAGCTATTGACAACAAAACGTTCCAAGTAGCACGGGCTATGGTGAGCCCGTAGTGGACTTACCTGGCACAGGAGCGGGGCTGTAACTTGTTATGAAGGCTGGTTGGTTATAAAAGTCTGATCAACAATGTTATTAAAGGTGGTGGTTGTTGTTATAGATTCAGCTACTCGAAACAAGTTCCAAGTAGCACGGACTATGGTGAGCCCGTAACAAGTTCCAAGTAGCACGGGCTATGGTGGGCCCGTAACTTACCTGGCACAGGAGCGGGGCAATTAGCACCGGCTATGGTGAGTCCGTAGTGGACTTACCTGGCACAAGAGCGGTGCTGTGATTATTGAAGGCTAGATAGATAAAGATTAAGCCACCCAAGAGGTGGCACGGGCATGAATAGCCCGTAATATTATTGAAGGCTGGATGGCTGGATGGCAAGTTTATAATTGCCTTGGGGGTGAGGAGGAAAGTTACGGGCTATTCATGCCCGTGCCACCTCTTGGGTGGCTTAATATTCATCAATCAATCAATCGAGGAGGAAAGGGCCAGTGCATTGTGAAGTCTGGTAGGGTAGTAATGGTCAGGTGGTTGAATGGTTATAACCGGTTGCTGGCGGTATTAAGTATCATCACACGTCGTTCTTATCAGTTATCATCATCATGAATCATCTTAATCCCCCTCGCTTGCACCGCTATATAACCATCAATGTCATTACATCTTTCTTTACGGGCTCACCTTAGCCCGTGCTACATGGACACTTCGTTCTGAGTAGCTAAATCTAAAACAACAACATTACATCTTTCATTTCGGGCTATTCATGCCCGTGCCACCTCTCGGGTGGCTTAATCTTTATCAATCAATCAATCAATCTATCACCACCACCACTGGCAGACACGGGGAAACACTTCTTAAAGCATCACACTACAGAGCCAATAAGACTAAGAGGCGAGGACCCATCAGCAACGCTAGACATACTCTTTACCCAAAACGAGGCATTATTTTTTTATTTATTTTGCCCCGAGGGGCGAGTTTATTGGGCAGCGGCACTCATCCTCTTAAGTGGATATACCGCCATAGCAGCATGTACAACACCCCCCAATAGGAAGAAAACCCGCTGGGGGGTTCATCCTGTCACTTTTACCCCAGAAACAGCTGGGACTTGTTTAACAGTCTCAAGTGAACAGGTTCTCAAACAAGAAGATTTGAAAAGATAAGAGTACGAGACGTCGCTAAAATTAGCGACCGCTTAATTGGCTCCACTATGTACTCAAACACGACAAAGGAGTCGGTTAGACAAAGGAACCTGTTAAGGAAAACGAGAGATTACAGACGTGGGACTAAAGTAAGTCGAGAGACTTTCTGCCTGACGTCCAATGGGAGAGAGAGAGAACTGGAAGGGGAATATAATTGAGATGAGGATAATTTGTTGTTTAGAAATGTGCCGCTGCAACGGAGCACTTCATACCACTCTCCTTGATACCTGCTTGATGGGGTTCTGGGAGTTCTTCTACTTCCAAGCCTGGGCCAGAGGTCAGCCTTGACTTGTGAGAGCTTGTTCCAACAGGCTGTTGCTTGGAGCGGCCCGCAGGCCCACATATCCACCACAGCCCGGTTGGTCCGGCACTCCTTGAAGAAAACTATCCAGTTTTCTCTTGAAGATGTCCACGGTTGTTCCGGCAATATTTCTTATACTAGCTGGGAGGATGTTGAACTCTGAGGAGGAGGTGGACGAGAAGAGTAAACTCATGGATCAATAAGCACTGCAGGGAAGCTGAAGAGGGAAGACCAAGAAAGCCTCAACAAAATCAGAGAGAACTATGAACAGAAGAATAGAGTGGCACTACGGTGAACCAGAAATGAAATACCCAAGTCAGAAGAGAAGCTGAGAGGCAATTTGAAAATGGCAATACAGCAAAAGCTAAGCACCAACCAGTGCTGTTCTATAGCCATATAATGAGAAAAACAACAGAGAAATACCATGTAATCAAGTTGAGACACGGAGGGGAATTCTCACTGAAAACGACGATGAGATATGCACGGAACTCTACAAAATATTTCAGGTCTTTACAATAGAATCAATTTGGAGATCAAGGTTGTAAGATTAAAGTCTGAAAGAAACACTGAATGACAATATAGTTACTGTAGAAGAGGTAACAAAAGGTTACCTCAGGAGAGGTTTCCTGCCCAAAACGCTTTGCGTAATACTGGCTTTAGGCATTGTATGTACTAGCTCCATCTATAAATCGATCAATTTATGTAAAATATCTTGTATGTATGTACCCTACCTGAATAAACATTTTTTTTATATTTATTTTATTTTAAAATTCGTGGAAGAACTAGACGTGACAAAATAAATGGGACGTGACCTAAATCTAAGCAAGAGTGTTAAAGGACGCTGCGGAAGTAATGTACAGTAATATAAACATTTGATTAAAACGCATGAGATGGGAAATCTCTCAGAATTCTGGAACAAGGCAAGTGCTGTCGCAAAATTAAAATAAAAAGGGGTGGATCATACAGTAGACACTAAATTATTGTAGCGTTCAAGTGCTGGAGAAAGTAATTAGATTAAGAATGCTGTAGCACCTGGAGAGGACAAAGTTTGTGCCTGACAAACTTGAGTCCTGTGACAGGGGTTACTAAACTATGACAAGAAAAAAAAAACTATGACAAAAAAAAAAAAATGAAAAAACAGAGACACGCTGGTGTCTCATGCGAATGCTTCAAATACTGTATACATTTAAGTTTTTCATTTACTGTGGGAGTTGCTCCTAGTGGAAATTGGTTCAGCGCTGCGCCTACCTTGAGATGTACCATTAGCAGTTTTGCACCATATGGTCCATGGTAGCTTTAGCGATGGAAATTTTCTGTGGTGCCCCCTTAATCTTGATGCCCCGAGCACGTGATTATTTTGCTTAATGGTTAATTAATGGAGCCGTACAGGTAACAAGTATGATTGTGGTCCCTGACCCCTGGTCCCTGACCCCTGGTCCCTGACCCTGGCCACCCTGGTGTGGTGGTGTAGGTCCTGGTGGCCCCTGAGGTAAGCTCTCAGGGACCAAGAGCACTCTTGAAAATATCACAACTTTTGAACAGTAAGGGCTTTTTGTAGTTTATTTAAAACGTGGATGCAATATTTTGTTTATAATTTAAAATTACCTTTATGTAGAAACATTCATAAATAGAATTATATGCAGTTTTGAAATATGTACAGAATTAATACAGGTGTTTCTCTCCTTAAAGTATTGAAGGTACAATACAGCTTGTAATGTTTTGATCAACTTTATAAAGCATTGCAATTAAAATTCTAATTTGTGTGTGTCAGAGTTTTTACTTAGATCAACGGAGATGATTTTTTACTTCTATTTTCTTTTGTTTCAGACTGGCATCCTGGTGGAGGTAGTGGAAATTTATAAGTCATCGCCAGCCCCCGTTCTCTCGAATATGGTAGTCGACTGTTCGCCCACTGACAACTTGGTGAGTTTATCAGCAAAGATCATTTAAATAAAAGATTTAACATGTATTGTACAGGTCAGGATACACCTTCAAGCTGTATCTCATTTTAGAGCCTGTACATAAGAGTTGCTATATTAAGCTGTTTTTAACTGTATGCTTTATTTAATGTTAAAATTAATGCCGCGATCCCCTGCCGCGATTCTTCGCGGCAGGGGATCGTATTCCAGGGACCGTAGGATTAAGGACTTGCCCGAAACGCTACGCGTACTAGTGGCTGTACAAGAATGTAACAACTCTTGTATATATCTCCATCTCTCCAAAAACATTCATACAGGATGAAGCTGGACCTATACACACATGGCCACAGTTTTGTGTTTGGGGTGAAGTTTGGGAAGAAGTATTGTCAACCAATGTCTGTTTTTCTTTAAAGAGCGCTGTTTGTCGACATAATTGTATTTGTGCTGCTTTTTCATCTATGTTTTCCTTTCTTGTTTTCATTCTACTCATTATGCTCAATTAGTATTAAGCTTGTCATTTAAGTTTATCATGCCCGAAACGCTTTGCGTAATAGTGGCTTTAGGCATTGTATGTACTAGCTCTACCTATAAGTCAACCAATCTTTGTAAAAATTTATTGTATGTATGTATCTTACCTAAATAAACATTTTATTTTATTTTTTATTTTTTTTTTTTAAGTGGAGATGTTCTTCAGTCCGTTCTGTGGTGGCTTGGATGCCTTGGCTGGTGTGCCTACAGTTGCATCCTTGTTGCCTATTGTTGGGGCCTCGGAGGTGCTACCCAAGTTGTTTGCTCCTCGCCTTTGAAAGGTGGTGGCGAGCCTTTATTTTGGTTGTGTGTCTTGCTGGCAGGCCGTGCTGTTCCATGCCTTAGATTCGGCTCGGTTCTTGTCCTTTTTTGTCCTCCTTTTGTTTCCTAAGTTGTGTCTTCGATTCTTCAGCTGTAGTGGTGGCTTTTCACCCATTCAGTCATCAGATTTTGCACTGGGATTCTTCCCTCGCTGCTCGGGAGGTAGTTTCAGGGCAGGACTTTGCCTTTTGTTGGTCAGTGTAGGCTTCCAGAGTCAGATTTCTAGGCCATTACACTTGCTTCTGCTGGTTGGAGACACACTAGTTGCAGAAGGGCTCGTCAGCTCAGGGTTATTCGCACTGGACTTCTTCGTTGTCATTCTTCAGTGTTAGTTCTGTTGGTTTTGTCCTTTTATTGTCCTGGGTGTTTGTTGGTTGGCATCTAATGCCAACCAACATTGATTGATGAAGATTAAGCCACCCAAAAGGTGGCACGGGCATGAATAGCCCGTAAGTGGTGGCCCTTTTGAGCCATTACCAGTATCAATAGATGATACTGGAGATCTATGGAGGTGCGACTGCACCCTGCGTGACGGGAGATGTCTCCCGTGAGTTATTATTCGCCACTCTGCTGCTTATATGCTCGGGCAACACCTCACCGTTTTCCAAAGGTTGACAGGAATAGGAATGTGGAAGTTGGGAAAGGTTTGAGTTCCATAATTAGTACCAAGAAGAGCTTTGCTTCTCTCATTAGGCTAATGCATTTGGAGCGAGAATATTATTGGGATAATCTACTCGCTACAGAACTCCCCCTCCCAGGGGATGAAAGGAAAAACACTTGATCAAGGAACCTAGCTGGTCGGTGAATTGTACGCCCTGCTCGCGTTGTATAACCCTCAAAGTTAACTTCCTCCTCTTCGCTGATGTCATCTAACTGGGGTCGTAGGGTGGGAGGTCGCACAAGCTCGTCTGTCGTCATAGGATCAGGTGGTGGTGCAGCTGGTAACTATGGGTGTAGGATAGGAGGTCGTACAATACAATACAATTTTATTTAGGTAAGGTACATACATACAATAAATATTTACAAGGAATGTTTCACTTATAGGTATAGCTAGTACATACAATGCCTAAAGCCACTATTACGTTACGTAACAGGGTCGTCCGTTTACGTAGGTGGCGGTGCTGCTGGTAACTGTGGTCGAAAAGTGAACGGCATAGTCAGCGGATGTGTCTCTGGAGGGATGTCTGGGGCAGCATCACAGTGTGCTGGTTTAAGGCGATCGATGGAGATGTTTACCCGCTGTCCTCGGCGTTTAATGGTGAAGAACTTCGGTATTCGAGAAACCACTTTAAATGGACCTTCGTAAGGTGACTGTAGAGGGCGTCGAACAGCGTGGACTCTTACAAACACGTGTTCAGTTGTGTGGAGCTCATGAGGCACATATTTAGCACAAGTTGTCAGTTGGCGTGATGGTGTAGGCCTCAACGTATACTAAGTCTGCTACCGAGAATCCACTGCCCTCCTTCGTGGCCGAACGAAGGCCAAGCAAGACTAATGGAAGGTTGTCGATCCAATCATCAGGGCGTGCTTGAGCTCTTAAGGCGGCTTTTTGTTGTCTATGAAAGTGTTCAACCATTCCGTTCGACTCAGGGTGGTATGCTGTGGTTCAGTTGTGTGTGGTGCCGAGGAATTCATAAGTTCCTTCCATAAATATGATTCGAACTGTCGTCCTTGGTCGGTGATGAAGACAGGGGCTGCCAAAACGGGCGACCCATCCAGAGAGGAAAGCCTGGACCACTGACTCAGCTGAGATGTTGATTAATGGGATTGCGTCCGGCCATCTGGAGAATCGATCGATGCAGGTGAGTAGATAAGAATATCCTCTTGCCGACGGTAATGGTCCAACGATGTCTACATGCACCACCTCGAAACGGTCAGCAGGTAATGGGAACTGTTGAAGAGGGCTCTTTGTGTGTGTGTGTGTTTTCACTCGCTGGCACTGGAGACATGAGCGAGTCCATCGTCGAACATCGGCATTGATTCCTGGCCATACGACATGCTCCATTAGTAGTTTCTTGGAAGTACGTACTCCTGGGTGTGCTAGGGAGTGAAATACTGAGAACGTTTTCTAGCGAAACTGGGCTGGAATGTAGGGCCTAAGTGCTCCCATCCATGAGGTGTCACAGATTATACTACCGCCACCTTCCATGGGAATCTCGATGAACTGGAGAGCTGTGTCAGATGTTCGTAATCACTGCAGATTAGGGTCTTCCCGTTGTGCTTTGCTGATTACACAGTAGTCCACCTGATCTGGGTTTTTCACGACGTGGTTTATGATGGGTCGAGACAGTGCATCAGCTATGATATTGTTGGCTCCTTTGACATGGCGGATATCTGAGGTAAATTGGAAGATAAATCCCAGGTGGTTAGCTACTCGAGAAGAGTGAGCATCACCCTTGCCCGCCAGTGCATACGTGAGGGGTTTGTGGTCTGTGAGGATGTGAAAATTCCACCCCTCGAGGAAGTGCCGGAAGTGTTGTATGGCTGCGTAGATGGCGAGCAGTTCCCTATCAAAAGTGCTGTACTTCTCTTCAGTGGGTGACAGGCGCGCTTAAAAGAATGCAGTTGGGCGTCATTCTCCTTCAATGAGCTGTTGTAGTACAGCACCAATAGCTGTGTTTGAAGTGTCGGTAGAGAGATTGGTGGGAGCGTCAGACACTGGGTGTGCGAGTAAGGTGAATTCCGCCAGCTTGTGTTTTATGTCGGTGACTGCTGTCTCTGCCTGGGGAGTACACTCCAACGGAAGACGGGACGTGTGTTTCTGACCACGTAAGAGTTCGTACAAGTGTTGCAAGATGTCCGAACAATGTGGGATGAATCGATGATAAAAATTCACCACACCAAGAAATTCTTGCAACTTCTTTGGAGTGGATGGGCGCGGGAATTCCTTGATTGCCTCGATTTTCTTCTCTAGTGGTTGGACCCCTGCTGCTGACACATGGTGTCCCATGAAATCCAGCTCTGGAACATGGAAAATACACTTCTCGGAGTTGAGCTGCAAGACGGAGTTGCGCAGACGGGTGAGAAGGAGTCAGAGGTATAGCAGATGTTCTGTTGGTGATGTACTGGCCACCAGCAGATCATCAATGTAGGCTTAGCAAAAAGGAAGGTCCTTCACTACTCGGTCGATGAAGCATTGGAATGTCTGGGCTGCATTCCGTAGACCAAAAGGCATCCGGACGAATTCAAAACAGTCCGAAAGGTGTTGTGATCGCTGTTTTCGGAATGTCTGCCGGTTCTACAGGGATCTGGTGAAATGCCCGCACAAGGTCAATTTTTGAAAAAACGGTTGCGTTGCTCAATCCCTGTGAGAAATCCTGGATGTGTGGTATTGGGTAGCGATCCGGCAGAATATAAACGTTGAGAGCCCTGTAGTCCCCGCAAGGGCGCCATTTCCCTGGGGCTGTTTTCGGGACCATATGGAAAGGTGAAGCCCATGGACTGTTCAAAGGGCGGATTATTCCTGCCTCCTGGAGCTTGTTGAACTCTGCACGTGCTACCGCCAATCGTTCTGGTGCCAGGCGGCTTGGTCTGGCGAAGATAGGTGCTCCCGTTGTAGTAATGTGATGCGTAATCGTATGTTGCACTTCAGGTTGAGGGCTGGCGGGTTGGGTCACGTCTTTGAATTCATCCAGGAGTGCTTGAAGTTTCGTAGATGTGACTGGGGTGACGCTGTTAACCTGTGTAGAGGTACTAGGAGAGGCTCAAAGTACTGCACCTGCGGGATCCACAATAAGGCGATGGTCTTGCAGGAAATCCCATCCAAGAATAGGTTGTTCCACATCTGCTATGAGGAAATTCCACATAAAGCGACCCAGAGAGGTGAAATCGAGAACCAGGGTGCGGATCCCATATGTACAGACGGACGTACCATTGGTGGCACGTAAGTCCAAACCAGGAGTACTGGTTGGTTTGACCAGTGGGGGAGGCAACGCACTAGCTGCTGCACCTGTGTCAACGAGGAAACGGCGTTTGGTTATGATGTCAGATATGTAGAGCAGTGTAGTGTTTGAAATGGTGGAGTTACTGGCCGTTAACAGTCCCCGCCGGAGTAGTTTCCCGACCAAGAACAAGGAGCCTTACAGTTGTGGGCTTGGTGTCCGAACCTCTGGTGGTAAGAACAAAGCTCTCCCCGGTGTTTTCGCTGTTGCCTAGAGACTGATGCTGGATTTGCATGGTACGTCCTCCCTGGGCGGAAGAAACGCCGGTTCTGGAGGACGTCAAGTTGTTGGGTGTCTGTAGTCTGCTGTGTAACACTGGGGTGGGACAGCATAGCGTTATTAGCCGTCGTATGAATTCGGTCTGCCAGTGTAGCCAGCTGGGCTAATGAGGTGTCGTCAGCCATACTGAATAGGGCCGGTTGAATGTGTTTTGGACAGAGTTGTATCCAGAGTGATCTCACAATCTCGCTGGGGGCTGGACCAGTTGCAGTATGCATTATATACTGAATATGCCGCAAAAGCTGGGCTGGTGTTTTGTCTGCTAATCTTTTGTCAGTGAAGAGTTGGTCCCTTTGTTGAATGCAGCATTTCATCGCTGCCTGTAGAAGAGCGGCCTTCAATACGGTGTACGTCCTGGCGTCTGGTGATGGGGCAGTGATGACAGTGGAGGAAGTGTGCATAGCCTCCGAGGGAAGTGTTGGCAGGGTACAGGCATATCAGGCTTTCTCAGTCGTAATTTCGTGAAGGTCAAAAATAGCCTCCATCTGCATGAACCAAAATTCTGGTTCATCTGCGTTGTATGCTGGAAACCTGGTAGATAAATCCATGATGAAGATCTAGTTTGCGACTAGGTGTTCTTTTCACTCACTGGGTCACCAATGTAACGGTTCTATTGTTACGTAAAGTATGGTGACAGTAAACACAAACACTAAGAGAATATATATACTGTATTTGGTCGAATATACGGAAGTACGCAGGTGATACTTTGGCGAGCAATGGTATGAGTTGAGCGCACTGAGCGTCGGTACAGTATCTCGCAAGTGTCTGTTCTAGACCACACTTGAAAGTAGACTAGTTATTATTCGCCACTCTGCTGCTTATATGCTCAGGCAACACCTCACTGTTCTCCAAAGGTTGACAGGAATAGGAATGTGGAAGTTGGGAAAGGTTTGAGTTCCATAATTAGTACCAAGAAGAGCTTTGCTTCTCTCATTAGGCTAATGCGTTTAGAGCGAGTATATTATTGGGATAATCTACTCACTACAGAAATGATCTCAGTGAGATAGCTTCGGAGAGCCACTTGGACTCTACCAGATAGAGGTGTTTCATTACATTCAATACTGGTTTTTTTGTTTGTAAGAGAATATTGCTTATATCCCAATATTAAAGAACAAAAATACTTGACATTTTCATTGTTATCCTAACTGGAGTAATCTTTCTACAGACAATTACATGTGACTGCGATGCTACGATATATCTCCGGATAGTGACGACAAGAACCCAAGGGGAGAAGACCACTGAAAGCGAGTACGCCTGTGCTGTTCGTCCACTCAGAGGGAGACTCAATATAGCAATTATCACTTCAGAATTAATGGCTGTTGTCAAGTTTGATGGCTGGCCAGAGGTATAAATTTAGTTCTGTTAGCTGGCATGTATAAGTTAATTTTTTATCTCATATAAATGGTAATTTTATTATGTTAATGTTATAAATGATGCACAGAACATATTGTATTTGAAGTCGGGGAGCCAAACATTAAAGGGACTGTACTGCTCCACTAATATTAAAATATAATGGTGTAGTGCAGTATAGATTATACTGCACTACACTAAGTGTTCTACAACATTCATTGTCTCGCCCAGAATATTAATAATAATAATAATAGTACAGTAATAATAATAGTACAACTAACAATGAGGAAAAAAATTATAATATTAATAATAATTTATTTATAAAAATAGATAACCTGTTTACAATTACCACATTTTTAGTACCGTATAGTATTTAGATTTTTATATAAAGTATTCACTAGTTGATTATGGAACACCTACATCTTGTTCATTGCTTTAACATTCTCCTTACACACTGGAGCATATGTATAGTATTTAAAAATACATTTGTTTACCAAACTACACTGAATGCAACATATTCTTGATTAATGTACATTTTCACATACAGTATTCATTCTTTTGATTCTTATACCATACCATAGCAATCATCTCTTTCTGATCACATAACAAACCACCTCAAACTCTCACCACTCTCCCATTTATCATTGACACTGTGGCGCCTCACTATTGTTCAACACATTTACCTTTCCCATTGTACTCACATAGCTCTATTCACCTATCTTGAGGTTATCTTGAGATGATTTCAGGGCTTAGTGTCCCCGCGGCCCGGTCCTCGACCAGGCCTCCACCCCCAGAAAGCAGCCTGTGACAGCTGACTAACTCCCAGGTACCTATTTACTGCTAGGTAACAGGGGCATCAGGGTGAAAGAACCCCAGACCACAGTGAACCCGGGACGCGTCCAGTGTTCTGTCCACTCAGCCACCGGCTCCCTTTGGCTTGGTTGTTGGCAGTTGGCTTGGTTGGACCTAGTTGTGCTTGGGAGGGGGGGGGGTTGAGCTCTGGCTCTTTGGTCCCATCTCTCAACTGTCAATCAAATGGGGTAGAGATTCCTGAGCTTACTGGGCTCTATAGGAATCGTTGAGGGTTCAGTAGCACTCCAGGTTGCAATCATTTTACCATGTCGTGGCCTAGTTGTCCGGGGTGTGGGTGCCTGGGAATACTAAACACATAGGTTTGAATCCTCATCATGGCTCCTGTGGATTTTCTCATTATATTTAGTGTTGTAATTACAGTACTTTATTTACCATTTATATTAGGTGGTAGACTAGAAAAATTAGAAGAAATTATTTAATTTTTCACATGCATACATTACTAATACAGTACAGTATTCAGTTTTCCACTAATTATTACACTTTTACCTCTTTCAAAATTAGCTAATTTTTTATATGTTCATTGAATAATTTAAAATATTGTATAATTTATTTTCACAGGTTTCTTTAAAGTTGGAAGGAATTCGAAATAATGCTTCTGGGTTTGACGAGCAGCAGATGTTGGATGTGATCGATGAAGTTCTTACATCTGCTCTTCGTAACTCTGTCCTGGATGTCAACTTCCAATCCAACAAGAACTTCCCCAGATTTCGACGAGCACGACAGGTTCCTGACCCCATCATTCCAGTGGGCTACGATTCTATGGTACGTGAGTTGCAGACACACCCACCCTCAGTTTCCCGTAAGCCAAAGAAACCACACGGTGGTTCAGTACATGATGAAGAAATAGTGGAGGCAGGAGAATCATTTACAGCCCTCAACTTTTCCTCCAACCTTTCCCAGGGAATTAATCTTACTACCAGTGAGGAACAGCTTATTGCCAGAAATCTGCATAAATATCCCTCACTAGAAAATTCTGACATTGGAGATGACATAAGTGAAATATGTAAGTCATGGGAAGAAAATTATGTACCTGCTACTGGGGTGCCCAATGAAGATAAAAAGAAGGTGGAGGTTGCTGTAGGTGTTTTCCAGGCTAGCTCTAAGGAAGACTCAAAGACTCAAAATTTTGTTCTTGTAGCTAGTAATAGGTCGAAGCTTATTGATGAACCAAGAACTGCAGTTTCAGTAGGTGAATTAGAAGAGGAGGAACCAGAATTAGTGCCAATTCTGAAACGAAGTATTGAAGTTGAACCATGTATAAGAAGAGGAGGTAGAAGCCCTTTAGTTCTTGGCAAACCTAAGGTAGAAGAACCAGAAGAATCAGTAGAGCTAGAGGAAGAAGATCTTGAAAATTTCCAATTAGATAGAATGAACCTTATTGACAAGTCGTTAACCAGCCCCTCTGGAACTGGACCCCTACCTTCCCTGCCAGGCCTACAAAAGGGACCTTTTGTAAGTGAAGCATGCTGTGTGGGAGTGAAGGTTGGTGTTGCTGATGAAGTTCCTGAGCTTGAACTTAGATTTGAGACTGCACCAGTTGATGACTGTGTGGCTTGTGACCTCTCTGAGTGTGACCAGGAGGTTGTGGTACCCATTCAACCCCTCTTGCAAATCCAACTCCATAACCAACCTGCCATTGATGACCTTAGTGCGTGTTCAATCTTTGATACTGCTAATACATCCAGTGGAACCCACAAAGATCCCATCCCTATCCCAATTTCTTTTCCTACTCTAGAGCCTGATATATCCTCTGCTTCTGCTTTGTCTGCCATAGTGGGGAACACTACCAAGCATCACAGTCCAATATCCTCTTGTGTGATAAATAGAGAGGAAGACTTTGGTCAGTCTTCAGGATATTTGCAAGATGCAAGTTTGGTAAGACATGAACCCGGAACTGGTGTCTCGTCAGCAATTATACACAAAGGAACTGATGCTGCAGATAATTACAATGAAAGGGATAATACTAATGATGCAGAGAGCTTGGACATTTGCTCGGCAAAGCAAGTTCTAGAGTCTCAAGAAGTCTACGCGCAAGATTCTGAGCCACCTTCATTTCACTACCCAGATAATTTGCTTGAAGAAGAACTAGAAAATGTAAATGAATATAAGAATATAAGTGGAAGTAAGAATGAAGTGTGCAAGCTTCTGAATAAATACAAACAAGATAACGAATCTCTTCTTATAAATAACATCATACAAGGTGATGAGCTCAGGATGGTGAACAACAACACCCAAGATAATGAGCTCAAGACTGTGAATAACAGCACACAAGGTGATGAGCTCAGGACTGTGAATAACAGCACACAAGGTGATGAGCTCAGGACTGTGAATAACAACATACAAGATGATGAGCTCAAGACTGTGAATAACAGCACACAAGGTGATGAGCTCAAGACTGTGAATAACAGCACACAAGGTGATGAGCTCAAGACTGTGAATAACAGCACACAAGATGATGAGCTCAGGACTGTGAATAACAACACACAAGATGATGAGCTCAAGACTGTGAATAACAGCACACAAGATGATGAGCTCAGGACTGTGAATAACAGCACACAAGATGATGAGCTCAGGGTGGTGAATAACAACATACAAGATGATGAGCTCAGGACTGTGAATAACAACACACAAGATGATGAGCTCAAGACTGTGAATAACAACACACAAGATGATGAGCTCAAGACTGTGAATAACAACACCCAAGATGATGAGCTCAGGATGGTGAATAACAACACACAAGATGATGAGCTCAAGACTGTGAATAACAGCACCCAAGATGATGAGCGCAGGACTGTGAATAACCTCATACACGATGATGAGCTCAGGATAGTGAACAACAACACCCAAGATGATGAGCTCAGGACTGTGAAGAACAGCAAACTAGATGATGAGCTAAGGACTGTGAATAACAACACACAAGATGATGAGCTCAGGATGGTGAATAACAACACACAAGATGATGAGCTCAGGATAGTGAACAACAACACCCAAGATGATGAGCTCAGGACTGTGAATAACAACACACAAGATGATGAGCTTAGGACTGTGAATAACAGCATACAAGATGATGAGCTCAGAATGGTGAATAACAGCATACAAGGTGATGAGTTCAGGACTGTGAGTAACAGCACACAAGCTGATGAGCTCTGGATTGTGAATAATGGTTCACAAGATGATGAACTCAGAATCGTGAATGGCACACAAGAAGATGAGCTTGGAATTGTGAATAACGGTATAGAAAATGAGCTCAGGATTATGAATAATGGCACGCAAGATGATGACATTTGTTATTCACACTCTCAAGCTCAATATGAGCTTGGGTGTGTGAATAATAACACACACGAGCTCTGGGTTTCGAACAATGACACACAGAAAGAGGAGTTTGGGAGTATTGCTGAGGACACACAGGAGAATGAGCTTGTATATAAAAAAATGTGTTTAAACAAATTTTCTGAAAGCCTTTTCAGACATATAGACTCTGAGGAGTCAGAGATATCTCTACCAGAAGAAGTTGTGGGAGATCAAAATTGGGAGATGGTTGAAGCGTATGAAGCTCTTGACGAGAGTGCGACATTCTCAGACACTTCAGACGAAGAGGGCAAGGACTGTGTGGCAACAGATAATGACACTGAAAACTTAGAAGTGATGTCAGATTCAAACGAAGCAGCATCAGAAGACAGTCATTCGGAAGTTTGTTGTGATGCAGATGTTTTTCGATGCCAAAAGTTTGAGAAAAATAAATTTTATCTAGAAACAGAAATAGATATTTTTAATGTTGACGAAAAGACAAGAATTCTTCCCTCAAATAATGATGCAGGAAAATTTGTTTCAACTTACCAGAAGGAACTGTTCAATGATTCAGATTCTCTTGACATGATCAGTGAGGAAGAAACAGTGCAGTATGACTACGTACAACTTAAAGAGAGCAGCAGTGATGATAGTGACGATTCATCAACAGATGACTGTACTTTTTCGGGTTCTGAAAATATGGCATCATATGACCTGTTACATGAAATAGATGATGTAGCAAAAACTATTGATGATGAATCAGATACTACTTTTATAATTGCAAATACATGTAGTATAAAATCCTCTGTTGCTTATGAAAAGCTTGAAGACCAAACTATATTGGATAACATTCTGATATCGAGTGCTGATAAGAAGACTGTGGAGGAACAAACAAGTGACAATGAAGAATATGATGAACATACAAAGGAACTTGAGTGGAATTCAAATGTAGCGGTAGAACCAAAATTATTTTATAATAAGGAACTGTGGAAAGGCCCACAAGAGGGCCTTTCCACAGAGGCCCAAAAGTCCCTCTGTAATAATTCTCAAAAAGTAATGAATGAAAGAGTAAAATTTTTGGATAGTATGCTGAATGGGTCAGTACATAAAGAAAATATTGATACCAAGATTAATCCTGTTGCTGAAAATGTAAATGTTATGACTGTTTCTCTTCCGGAAGAGAACGGTCTTAAATTTAATGATGATCAGATTTGTGGTATTCCCGATGAGCCTAAATGTGTGGATCGCTACACTTTCTTAGAAACCTCTTCTGACTCAGAGATAGAAGGAATAACTGGAAAACATCCAGGAAAGTACTCTGGTGATTCAGCAGATGATACATCGCCTTATGGTCAAAACTGGAGGTACAGTGATATTGATTTAATTATTGAAGCAGAGTCTTTTGTGTTTCCAAGTGATCACGTAGATTCAGTATCGAGTTGTAATTTGAAAAAGTTTCAGGAACAGCATCAAAGTGTACAGGGTGCACAAGCATTATCCAGAGACACCATTTTGAATACTAGTTTTGAAGATTCACAAAGTTTGCCAAGAATCAGTAAATCAAGTTACGGTAAAAAAAACACACGAGTATTACCCCAAGAATCCGCAGAGATTGATGTGCAGAGTACCAATGTAACGTTTTCAGGACCATTAACCGCCACTGTAGGCAGTGTGGCTACATTAACACAATCTGACACTTCTTGTGCACTAACACTGCAACAGAGTGCGTCTCACACAAGGAAAGCGTGCCCAACCTGGGATGAAATCATGAAATCTGTCTCTTTCACCTCAGGCCAGATTCAGTGGACTCAGCCCCTGCCCTCCTACCCAGTTTATGGCACAAGTTACTTGGTAAGACCCACACATTTTTACCTTGGTGGATCTTGTGCCGGGAAGTGCTACTCAACTAATCTAACCAACTTCATTCATTTATGTGGGGTTTATGTTGGGGCTTGGTAATTGCTAAGTTTAATTATAAATTCCTAGGTGGGGTACAAACATTTGGTGTGATTTGTTTGAATGAATGATATTGCCACATCCACTTTTCATGTGACATCATTCTTTTTTGCAGGGATCATAAAATGGATATAATGTTAGAAATAATAATTTAATTATTACTGTGGATACAATCAAAGTATTTGTGTTGGTCAATCTGAACTATACCATAGTCACATATAGATGATTATGTTTGATGTACTGTTATTATCTTTTCTAAGCTAAGTCCACTACTCTGTTACTCCTTTACCCGAGTTACCCAACTTACCTGAGGGCCACTAACCCTAGTGGCCTCGATGAGGACAGGAAGCCGGTGGCTTGTCGAAGGTCCCCTCATTTTTCTTGATGATATTTTCCATGTATTTTTTGAAATTCGGCACAGTTTTGGCAGTTGATGAGGGTAGGGTATACAGTTCCATGGGCTAATAACCCTGTGGGTGAAAAAGAATCTCTTGTTTTCAGTCCTACATTGTGGATTGTTAAGCTTGAAGCCGTTGCTCCTTGTTTGTGTTACATCTGACCTTCTGAAGAAGATATCTGGATCAACATCCTCTAACTTGTTCAGTATTTTAAAAGTTTCAGCGAGATCTGCCCTGTCATGCCTGGTTTGCAGTGTTGTTAGCCCTGTGGCGTTCCTGATACGAGAGATGACTTGGCTCTGGAATGACTTTTGTTGCCTGGTGTTGCACCTGCTCCAAAGCAGCTGTGTCCTTCTGAAAATGAGATCTCCATGTTTGGATACAGTAATCTAAGTGATTATACACCAGAGATTTATGCAGTTGAACCTTTACTGTCGTTTTCTTTAGACAATGTTCTGCTCTCACATGGACATGGCATAGTACCAGCCATTGCCAGTGTGACCTTACTACACAATGAAAGTGTGGGTCTTTTCAGATCACCCATGTTGGGGTATTAATGGAAACAGTGAGGCACTGTTCTCCTTAGCTTAGGACCTTCTCTTTGCTCAATTGTAAAGCCCTCCCGGAACCTGTTGAGTTCTTCACACACATGTCATTCTCAGTGAATGAGACCTGTCCTCCTGATGTGGCTGTAAAGAAATTTGAGTTAGGTTTTTGCTTTAGTTGCAGTGTTATTTTCAAACAACTTTTCTACTTCCCTTCTCACTTTGAGGTATGGATTCCTGGCCCACTGTTACCCCTCTCTGCTGTTCTTTTGTCCTAATAGTTTTCCATCCCTTCATGCTTATACATCTTGCTTCCTTACATCCATAGTTAAACCATGAATTTGTCCTACGCTTTTCATTGTCTTCCCTCTGGAGAGGGACAAACTTGCCAGCTGCCTCCCAACATTTTATCATTGAAGAAGTCCACCATTTCCTGTAGTGACTTTCCCCTAAGTTCTATCTCCCATTGTATCTTTGACAGATGGTCTTATTTGTGATTTTGAGAGGAATATGGCAATGGGAGAATGCAATGGTATTACACCTTGTGTCATACATATGTAGCATATACTGTGAAGTTAATACAATAGCAAAATTTAATGCTTCTTTTGTATCATTTTAATTAAAATTATTTGTTGTTGGAGTTATTTAATCTGAGAGTACAAGTTTTTCTTATCAGATAGATTACTGTAATATACAGGAGGACTATTTTTTATGCAATTAAATTAAAAAATGGTGAATCTTCTTGAGAAGATTGCTTTGAACACTTTAACCAAGGAGAAAACTGCTACTGAGAAAGGCTTTATCTTCATGAGTTAAGTCATGTAAAATGCATGTAATTTATAAGCAAGGTGAAGGACAGCTGCATGGAATTGATTTGGGCACTTTTTTCAGGATGACTAGTAAATAAACCATTCCCAACTTTTGGTGGCAGGCAATTCAGTCATAATGAAATTATATTTTTGAGCATGGGAACTTGGTAGATCTCTTAGGTAATATCTCTCTCCCCCAGAGACATTGTTAATTCCAGCCAGGAAAGTATGTCCTTCTCATACATCAAGCTCTCCTGGATATAGCTCAGTGCATCAAAACTATAAGCAAATTAAAATGACTCTGGTTAATGACATAATTTTTTATAATAAATTGTCATGCAGATTTCTGTCTTATTGTTCTGTAAATCTTCTTGATCAATAGCAAAGTATGTAATGACATCTAAATGTATGCAGTGACATCTAAATTATGTAGTGGCATCTGAATGACTAGATTTCTAAAACCAAAAAATATGAACATTTAATTATTCTGTCACTTCTTAGTAAGTTAATCTCATAAAGCAGTACTGTACATTATCTTGACTATGGACTTGAGTGCTTAGATAAAGACTGCTGTACATCAAAATTCAATGTTGGACACACATTAAGAATAAAAAAAATTAAAATAGATAATTTTATTTATGTTTTATTTAAATATTTCTGAATTCATATGAAGAATTTTGGTCTTTTGCAAAATATCCTCACAGATCACATAATAAATATTGTAGATGTCGATGAAAAGTGGATAGTGTCCAGTATGCTTGAAAAGTCCATGCCAGCTGCATGGTAAGCTCAACTAACCTGCACGAGTGAAGGAACACTGGGAATTGGTGGGGATTAACAGGGTCATCTTTCTCTTCCACTTCTCGCCATAAAGACGGGCAGAAGTAATCTCATTCTGCCCTTTTTGTTAGAATGTACGAGAGCTAATCTTGCATGGTGGTAAATGGCATCCTTGTCCTGGGAATTATAATGTACATATTAGGCTTAAGGAATATTGTGATTTGTTATGAAATTACTTTCAAAAGGCTGTTGAGAGCAATTAACTTAAGAAAACTCTTGTAGAAAAAATGAGAAAAATGTGCAACATTAGTAGCTTGAAGATAGTGTACACTCAGACCCATCATATCCAACAAGGCCTGAACCGAGACATTTGGTCCCAGGGTGCATTTCCTCTTATATCTCTTGTAAGGAAGAAAATTTTACAAGATTTACATTTTTTATATAAAATAAACCTGACGTTGAATGTAATGAAATGCCTCTTTCTGGATGAGCACCGGTGGCTCCCCGAAGCTATCTGAGATTGCTCCATGCAAATGGGTCACATCAGATTCAAGAGTTCTGTTTGGTCTACCTGGGACCAGAGCCAAAACTAGGCTTCCCCCTCCACTTACAGATGCAGAGTGCAAGTGACAATTCACAACCATAATGAGCAAGCATCCACAAAGTCAGTGAAGCTTTATATACAACTGGAGGGTTAACAAAACCCAAAGCCTCAACTACCAAATATCTCTGCAAACAATTCACACGGAAAGAGAAATATTTAATCCTTAGACAGCAGCTACAGCATAATGGTTCCGATGCTCAAAAAATACAACTTTAGTGCCCTAATATCCACCAGACAAAGGTTAAGTAAACAAAAGTGTCTGATCCACACATATATATTCTACAACTGTTCAAACCAAAGGAGAGTGTGAGGGAACGTCTGGTCTCGTGGATCTCTCCTTGTTGATATCCCGCTGTTCGTTTGCTTTTCCTCTGCCATGTTCCCTCAATGCTGCCGTGTTGTAGGGGGTACTCAAGTCACTACAAAACAATTTTAAAAAATAAGTTTTCATTATAGAATCATTAATTTGTATGCAGAATGTAAAAAAAAAAAAAAAAAGTGAATATCTTTTCATTTTACTCGATGGAGGTACTGTGAACGGTTGTGTGGTGGCTGTGGTCTGTCATCTACCAACATAGTCTAAAATAGTCATATGATGATAATTTCATTACCCCATGAATCAACATATGATGATAACTGCTGTATAAGGGATAAAATTTGCCTGAAGCTTATACTACTGAATGCCACCACCAGGCAACCCAGCTTCCTTACACAGCCATCTTCCTTACTCGGTTCTGGAGCTGATGAACACCCCATCAAAGAGCCAGCTAATCTGATAGGGGAGGCAAGGAGTCAGGGAGCCACTGGGGGCTCATCCATAAAGAGGCTTTTCATTACATTCAATGCTGGGTTTCTGGGAAAGCCCCCATGCAATAGCTACTTGAAGCTAACTAACCAGAGAGAAAAAATTTGACATACCAGGGAGGACGAGAAGTGGCATAAGTTACCTTGTGGTGTTTTTGGGCCTTATTGTCCCCGCGGCCCAGTTGTCGACCAGACCTCCTGCACGCACTAACACGAAGAAGAGACTCCAGGCTGGGGGCACCCAGAACCCCTGTTAGAACACCAAAATCCCCAAGCCTAAATATCAACCAAGGGCATGTTGGAGAAGTCTGTGGCCAATGTAGTATTCTGGTAGACTGCAGGCTGGCTAGATTTGATAAAACAGCAGATGACCTGGGAAATGCAAGCCTTGGAACAACCAAAGAAACAGTTAATGAAGACATCCACCAAAGCAGAACCGATAATCCACAGGTAGCAACGAAGAGCTGCCAACGGACAGCAAGTGATGTACCCCTGCCTGGACCAACAAGCATCAGTCACATCAGATGTCTGTGAAAGCTAGCCAACTCATTCTTTGACAGAAAAGTTGGAGAAGGCTGCAAATGAACAAACTATCAGCCAAGGCCAAAGGAACAGAATCACTGTCTGTCGTGCATTTAAGTAGTGTGGGAACAGTTAGTGATATGTCGAGATTGCTGATGCTGCTGCTTGATGGTATGCATGAGTGGTGGACCAGTGGTTTTTGTCTTGGTAGCAATTGTTTACATAGGTCTTGGCTACTGTGGTGGATCCTAGATCCCCAGATCTCCCTGCCTCTATTGATGGGGTGTCACGCTCTTGTCCTGGTGTCTGGTAGGCACTTGTGAATCGATAGAGCCTGGTGTGGCTCTTTAGTATTTCAGCTAGCTGGGTGGGAAGCTATGGAAAATACAAAAGGATCCATTAAAATAAGGGGTTCCATTACATTTAATGCAGGATTTTATAGTACCAGTATTTTTTAAGAAGACAGTCACTCAGAATAATGACATTTTATACCTCTAATTTGTTCCTGTACGCCATTGGATAAACTATTATGTTGATACGAGGTGTTTGGATATGATGTGGTTGACTGTACAGTATACCAAATTAACTTGTTTCAAAATTTACAGTAATAAAATTAAGTAGCCAATGAAATGTTCATATTTAGATTGTATATACTGTAGTGATAAGGATATGAGTTTTTGTTTTAAGATGCACTGGATTCTTCAAATTTGTAAATACAGTATATTCCAGATTAAATTTGATGGATAATTCTCAGCCTGATCACTAGTATGGTAGTTTATTCCTTCTAACTTATCTGCCTTTTTCTGGCAAAAGTATTATTTTAGACATGCCATTATTCAAACAATGAATTGCCATCTGATCGAGGATTTTCCAGAACATAACAAAATACTTCCTACACAGTCTTTTAATTGAACATGCTCCTCTGTTCCAGACTGTTGTTTAACATTTCTGATGAGGGTTGTTCATTTATTTTTTCTGTTTCTTTGTCTTGTGTCTGTTAGGTGATGAAATGGCCAAATGGCTCCTGTGTACATATAATTTCACTTGATCATAATGTGACGTGCTCTCGTACATAAATATTGTCCGTATACTCTATATTATTTAATGCAGGAACATGAGCCACTCACTACTGCATGAGAAATATAGTTATTTTGTAAGATACTGTATTAGTTAAATTAATGTTCTGATTTTATTACTTTTGAAGAGTACTGTATTGTATAATATATTTTTAAACTGCAGTATGTATTCGACGTATATATACTTTTCAGGTCTCATCTGTTACATCTACGACACCTGGCCAGCCTGGGGGAATTCCAGGTCTTAATGGCAAGCGACTTTTAGTGAAAATTGTTAAAGCAACAGGTGTTGGCTGTGATAGCTGTAAGTAAATTTGTCTTTTGTGGAAATATTAGCTTCTACCATATCTTAGAAATAAATTGGTCAGTGACTGCTAGCTTAACTTCTAGGCTGTGCAGCAGTTAATAACTGACAACCCCTCCTAGTGCACAAGAAAAACAAATAATTCTTTCCTTTTCATATTGTTAAAATGCATTTCCTGATCACAGGGAAAAAAAAAATTGTGGCATACTTTGACTGTGATGGGGCGATGGAGTCCGGCAAGATATAGGCATTGACAGTGTATATACCTGGGCCAGTCTGCTCCGGCAAAGTTGGAGTTACCACAAAGATACTACAGTACCACTTAATTATTTAAAAAAAAAATTGTACAGTAATATTATTCAATAGTGTGTAATGTGATCAATTCATATATAATAAAATGTGTGCACCATCACTATACTCAAAAATATGGTGTGCATATTAATGTTACAATTATTATATTCTTAGAAAAATAAAAGGGTTTTTGCTGTTATTACACTATACAGGAGTACCTCGGTTTAAGAATTTAATCCATTCCTAGAGATGGTTCGTAAACCGAAGCTAATTTCCCCATTAGAAATAATGGGAAATTAATTAATCCATTCCTGACTCCCCAAAAACTTCACTTCCAAGTAAATTTTATACCTAATTCACCCAAATCTACACTACAAAAGTATGTTCAAGTTATTACTTACCCTTCCTGATGACTCCTGTTGGCGTATGGGAGATGGTGAAGAGGAGAGGTGTTACTGTTTGGAAGGGGGATCCCCTTCCATGATAACATCAGGCAGTGAAGATTTTTCTGGAGTGCACTCTCTGGCACGTTTTGCCTGCATACCACTAGGTCCTGGTTGTGGCTCACTGCTTGATTTTCTCACAACGAGACGATCCATTGAAGATTGTTTTCCCTTCTTCGCAACATTTGTCTGTAGTGAGGCATCACATTATCATTGAAAAGATTAATGCAACGGCCTACTACAGCTTTCTCTGGGTGAATCTTTTCAATAAAAGTTTGCGTTTCTTCCCACATCTGACACCACTTCCTAAATAGGGAGGGGGGGAAGGGGGGGTCGAGTCTTTCTGGGTGGGCCTCCTCTCTCTCTAACTTCATCAGATCATCTTGTAGTGGGTGTCTTCAGGAGTTGTTGAAACAAACCCTTCCCTTTGGTGTTTTTTCTGCCTATTTCAAGTCCTGAAGTGGGATTCTCTGGATCACCAGTTTATTCTTGATTTGTTGGAATGACCATGTTTTCCCAGGTTTGCCTTGTTCTCGAGGCAGCTGCTTGGTGATTTCCCTGGACCTGCTGGGTGATTTTCCTGGACCTGCTGAGTGATTTCCTTGGACCTGCTGGGTGATTTTCCTGGACCTCAGACATGTCGTTGCATGTCCCTATCCATCTGCAGTTCAGGAATTGGTTATGCTTTATCATTGCGGGACAGGCTTACCATTTTTGGGTTCTCTTGTCCTCCTCGCTGGTTCTATTCTGCATTTCCTTCCGTATTTTTCACTCCAATATATTGTTATTCTACTGTGGAAATTAGGGACCTGACCTTCCAGTATTTTCCATGTACAGTACTGTATATATTATTTGATATCTTTCTCGTCTCCTTTCCAGAGAATATGTTTTGAGAGCTTTGAGATGAGTTTTATCCATATAATAATATCCAATAATTTAGATGTTTTATGGTTTCTATGCGTGCCGTATTTCTGTATTCCCTCTAATTCAGAGATCTCTCCTGCACTGAAAGGCAAAGTGAGTACTGAGCAATACTCAAGATGAGACAGCACCAGTGATTTAAATAATATAGTATTAGCATTGCTGTGGGGTCTTTGGAGTTGAATTGACCATCACTCTGCATTCTATTTGACAAAGTTGAAAAACCAATGCCCCAATTTACCCATTATTCATATTGATCTCATTTAATGGGCTGTCACTCCATGGTCACATTTGTCGAATGCCTTTGCAAAAGTAGGTGTATAGAACATTGCATTTTGCTTTTCTTCTGAAGCTTCTGTGATTTTGTCATAGTAATTGAGTAATTGTGACAGACAGGATCTTCCTGCCCTAATTCCATGTTCTGGGTTGTGAAGCTCATTATTTTCCATAAAATTGTAAATTTGATTCCTAATCGCTCTTTCAAAACTTCTATTATGTGTGATGTAAGTGCAACTGGTCTATAGTTTTTTGCCAAAGCTTTACTACCTCCCTTGTGCAGAGGAGCTATATCTGCTTATTTAAGTGCTGCTGGTATCTCCCTTATATTCAGGCTCTTTCTCCATATTACACCGAGTGCTCGCACTACTGGTAATTTACGTTTCTTTATGAATATTGAATTCCCGAGTCAGGACCAGGGGCCCGAGTGCATAGGTATGTTGTCAATTTCTTTCAAAGTCTTCCGAGTTCGTGTTAACATCCATTATATTATCTGCAGCTTGGATGTCATTCAAAAATAATATAGTAGGAAGATAATATCTGGAACTGGGTTTGCTAGGTTATCAAGGATATTGATAACCTAGCAAACCCAAACCTATTTTGGGCCTCTGCTCTGCAAATTCTGCAACCGTTGCATCTGGTGGGTCATATATTAGAATAATAATTAGAATTATTTTTTGTACCTTGATTTCAAGTACCTCTACCAACTAGAGAAAGTGTATAAAGGAAGCCTAATTAAATTAAAATAGTAGAACAAGGGAACATCAGTGGATGCTGAACATGTATCTGAGTAAAAGAGATGTAAGGGAGTTCTTGCTCACTGTATGGGTGGTAGGCAAGTGGAATGTATTGAAGGAAGAGGTTGTTGAAGGCAATTTCATCCACAAGTTTAAAAAAAAGAAATATGATGAATATCGAGAGGGGTAATTAGCGCACCAGGTTTGAACAACTAGGAGGTGGGGGAATAAAGGGCTAGATCTCACTCCCGTGCAGTCGCTGATAGATATGCATCTGTCACACAATGTTAGTCTCGCACCTCCCTGCTGTACTAGCATATCACACCTGTCACTGTTATTTTGCTGTACACAGGTACTATGCCACAAAGAAACCTTAGGAGCATTGGTGATTAAAAAATCTGTTAAATAATGTGTGGATAGGCAGGCAAGTGGTGGATAAAGAGAGAGAGAGATTAATTTTATGGTACTGCTTGCAGTGGTGTCTGAGGCGTACGCTGTGGTGGAGATGGATGAGCCACCCCAGAAATTCAGTACTTCTGTTGTGAAAGAGACGAGTTCTCCGTTTTGGGATGAGCAATTCCTCTTGTAAGTTGATTATTTCTGTTGACTGTTCAAGTTGATAGAGGTACCTAGTAGTAAAGTCAGCAGTAGAGGAGAAGGAAAGTGCACTAACTAAAATATAGGAATGCCAAAAATGGATTTAAAGATTTTTATTTAGAATTTGATTTTTACAATGTCACCTATATTCACTTAAGAGAACAGTACTTGATTTATTTGTTATATGCTAGTTTATAAAGTTTATATTCTAATTACTTAGGAATAATTTTTAAAGCATATTAGAGTGTAATTGCTTTGATGTAATTTTAAAGCTTATTAGCTTATGTATTATGATTACTTAGATAATTTTGAAAGCTTGTATATAATTGGTTAGAAAAGTAAAATAGGCTTTGAATATACATTGCTATATATAAATAATACAATTCTGAGCAGACCCACTTGGTCACCCCCATGATAATTAATAATTAAATTATAATAAGGTAAGTTTCCACTGTCTAAGGTGGAATATTGTGCAGTCTGACGGGATGACATTTATGGTCAGCACGGTTGGCTTACAACCAAATAATCCAAGCTTTGATTTCCGGACAGAACGATAAGTTTGGGCAAGTTTCCTTACATCTTAAACTTCTGTTCACCTAGTAGTAAATAGGTACTGATGAGTTAGACAATGGCTGTGGGTTCCATCCTGGGGAAAGGTTATTCATTGGACTTAGTGGTATATTGATAAGCTTAACAGGCTTTCTGTTCCTGAGAATGAGACATTATACCGGTACTGGGAACACAGGAGATCATCAAGCTGAAGTAAGCTGCAAAATCATTCTCAGTATATTATACAAGCTATCCTAGGTAAACTACTGGTTGGCTCATTCACAATATACATAATCACAAATGGAGTACCTGTTATTCACCATGCTACCCCCATTGCACAGTCAGTATAAATATACTGTAGTTTTAGGAGTGATATAAGAAAAGGAAGGCCCCACTGTAAACTGGTGGAAGGTATCTTTAATATCCACCCCCCAAGTCTTGAGATATATGATACCTGCTTGATGGGGTTCTGGGAATTGTTCTACTCCCAAACCCAGCCTGAGGCCAGGCTTGACATGTGAGCCAGTGAAAGAGCAATGTAGAAGCCTAGGTGCAAAGGCTTTGACAAAGCAGTATTACATGAAGTAAAAAAAAAAAAAAAAAAAAAAGGAAAACTAATACCTGAAAGAGATAGATTGTGTACAAAGTAACACAACACTGAAGACCAGAACACTTCACACTGATTCCAAGGTCTGCAAAGATGTTGAAAACGAAAAGCAGCCATGATCCGTGTTAGGTGATAATAGACATGCTTTAAAAACTCCACAAACAAAAGACTGGTAAAAGGATTAGAAGCGTCCTTTTACAACTGGCAAGCAATCATCTGCATGAGGAGGGGAACAGTGTTAGGTCATACAGTTCAAGGAGCCAAGAACCAGGATTAAACTGGTCACATAGAAGCAATGAGAAACACATGACTCACAAAACTTGACAACTTCTGTTTGGCAGGAAAGAGATTTCCTGCTAAAAATTGCAATACACTACTTTCTTCCAGTAGCATATTGCAACTGGAGAAGAGAGATTATCTCAGAGGTTCCAAGTGAGATGCATGGCATCTGATGATTTTATTGCAGTTGAAGAATGGAAGCACATACAAAAGCAATTTTTAGTTTTGGGCCAACCAGACTGCTGGCCCAGGAACACCCAAAATCAAAGGAGGGGTGAGGACCACCTCCATTGCAGACCCTGGGAAACGACATGAAAGACCACACACAGACAAAGCTGGCAAAGCAACAAGAAGTTCCTTTACCACCATCAAATAGTGCTTCAAAAGGGCTGGTGCAAAGTACCATGAGCTGTCACCCCGTTCTGTGACATACACAAATGATACTGACCAGAAAAAGTGAAAGCAGGCGGAGACACACACTCCCAGGAATCTGGCACCTCTGCGTGCCTACCCTGACTAATTGGGGGATATCAATTCAAACCACTTGTTTTAAAAGGTCAAATATAACACATACAAGAGCCAATAACTTTCAAGCTCAGCAAGCCACAATGTAAGACAAAAAATAGGAGATGCTTTGTCACCCATAGGGTTATAAATCCATTTAACTGTCCGGCCACCAAATCTGTAAATGCCAAGACATTAATGCAATTCAAAATTCAACTTAACAAAAATAGTCAGGAAAATTGGGGAATTGGGGATCTTTGACAAGCAGCCATCTTCCTGTCCCTATCAATCCCACAAGTGAGATGGTGGCCATCAAATAAATTCAGAAATGTGAGAGTGAGATTTAGCTCTTTATGCCTTACCTCCTAGCCATTTATACCTCGCTCGCTAATTACCTCACTCAACCTTAACATTTTCATCATATTTCTTTTTTTAAAGTTGCAGATGGAACTGGCTTCAACAACTTTTCCATCGGTTCATTCCACCTGCCAACCACCCACTGGGAATGAGATCATCCTTACATCTCTTTGATTCAATTGTGTGTCCAGCTTTCACTGGTGTTCCCTTGTCCTACCTCTTTTTAATTAAAGTGGGCTTCCTTTATCCACACTATCTATTCGCAACGAGATCTTGTACGTAGTTATCATATCTGTTTCTTCACTCTTCTCGGGTTGTGTGAGAGAGTTCTCTCGATCTGTCCTCATAGCCAAGGCCTTTAAATTCTGGTTCTAATTTAGTTGCAAACCTCTGAACTTTCTCAAGTTTGTTTTTGCATCACTCTACAGTCCTCTTCGGTTACTACTCTCCTCTTTGACTTCACATCATCTGCAAAGATCGTCACGTATAAGCTCGCTCACTCTCCAAGAGGTCTTTTACTTAAATTAAAAAGAGCAATAGTCTAGGAACAGAGCCCCTGTGGAACACCACTTTTCATGCCTCTCCAGGCTGACATATCCTCTCTGAATGTGACCTTTTGTTTCCTGTCTGTCAAGTATTCCCATACCCAGTCCAGTGCCTTTCCTGTTATCCCCATTTGCCTCTCCATCTTGTGTATTAGTATTTTGTGAGGAAATGTATCAAAAGCATGTTGGTGTAGGCAGGTGAAGAGGAGGTTGCTGAGACCAACAAGGCTTTTGTAAAGGCTTTTGAGGGCACATTAGGTAACATGTAGTCTCCCTTGCACCAGTATGACCCAACATGGATGTTTGAAAAGTTCCCCAAGACTTTGATGCTTCTAATGTATCCCTGTTTGACTGCACAATTTACTCAACCTTATGGCAGAATTTATTCCTTAGGAGAACAACCAAAATGGGAGAGCTCAGAAAAAATGTTAATCCAATGTGATATTAAAATTGAATTTTGTGGAATGATTCAGAGTAGAATTGCAAAATTGTAGATATAAATCCATGAATGGATTCCATTGAGTGTGTGTGCTCAGATAATTAATTATTTAATAATATCAGGTGAGTTAAAGAAATTTCTTGTTACTGTGTTTTCTTGAGTTCAAAGTTTTTATTAGTTAAGTGAGATATTTCTTTGCAAATAAAGTTGAATTTTTAGCATTGGCAAATTTTTTTTAATGATCTCTAATTTTACATTATGCTTGTTCAAAGTGATCTCAGTGGTGGCACACTAGAACTTCTCTTTGAAGTTTACGATAAGAAGGATGGAAATTTCTTGGGTCTTGGAATTGTAGGCATAGAAGAGTTAGTGGCCACACCCTCACAGAGACAAATCATCCCCCTTCAGTCACGACCATATGAAAATGACGAAGTTTCTGGATCACTGACAGTCGAGGTAAGACAGGGATTATTACTGCTATTATTAAGCAGTTAATTAAGAAAAAGGCATTGAATGTAATGAGCGGCCTCTCTCTGGTTGAACCATAGTGGCTCGCTGAAGCTCAAAATTTGTTAGTAAAGATCACCACCACCAGGTGGTCTGGTCCCAGCATGTAGTCACCTCCCTTGACCAGCTAGTTCTGGATTTGATGAACAGCCCCATGACAAACCATCAAACCTGGAGGAGGCAACAGGAATTGGAGTCAGCACTGGATTTTGGGAGGGGAAGGGGTTTCTCCCAGTGGCTTCCTGAAGCCAACTAACCACAGAGAACAAAAATGGGACTTACCAGGGAGGAGGAAAGGCAGCAGGCACTAGGACGGACAAGAGAACCAAGAGAGCCTATTTGGGAGTCATGGTCCAAAGTAACACATGACCAGCTGGGACCAGGAGCATTTACTAAATACTAGACCACCAAAACCCTAGTGCTCAAATATCAGCCCAGGACATATCAGAGAAGACCATGACCAAGTGGTGTATTTGCATACGTCATGGGCCCGAGGGGTAGAACATTGGCTGGCTGGATTTAATGACACTACAAATGACCTGAAAAATGTGAACCTTAGAACAGGGGACCAAGGAAAATGGTCAACCAACAAGGCATCTGCTGAGGCAGACCCAGTGAACCATGTGTGTCGTTGCTACAGCAGCATTTTCTGGTGTGATAAACAGAGTGGTAGATGGTTGGAACAAGTTAAGTGAGAAGGTGGTAGAGGCCAAAATAGTAGTTTCAAAGCATCATATGACAAAGAGTACAGAAAAGATGGGGATACTATGAGCATAGCTCTGTAACTACACTTGGGTAATGCAGTTAACCAAGTGTAATTTCACTGCTACCAAGTTATTGGTCATGAAATAACAAGTAGCAGCGAAAAGCCACCAACATACACAGCAAACTATGTACACTGCTCAACTACCCAGAGAGTCACCATGGGCAATCCACCCAACAGTGACAAAGGTGCAGGCAGAGCAAAGCTGCTGGAGGCAAAGACAAAGAAACTGACCAGGAGTCCCACGCAAAGCCCAGCAAATTCTGAACTTGGGACGAAACCAACTGGGACTTCCTTCAGTTCACCAGGAACCCGACTGTGGTGAGCTGAGAGAACCAGATTCCTGGCGAGCTGACATGTAGACCAACTGGGGCCAGTTATCGAGGGATGCCAACAAACTAACCCCTTAAAGATGTAACCTGATAAAGACATGGGGTCAGATTTAAACTGAAAGGAAGAACCCTGAAGCTGTCAGTCTGATGCACCACAGCAACACTGAACACATGAGAGAAGATAACTGTGTGCAAGGGTAGCACTATCAGGCACCCAAGGAAGAAAATTCTGAGTGCATGCAGCCCAAAGTATAACACAACACAAGCCAAGCCCACACAACTCGCTAGAACCAAAACATGCATGTGAAGCTGACATAAAAAAGTAAAAAGTCAATACAAGAAAATAGCCCTTCCAGGAAAATGTCCAAGGATAGCTGGTACTTAGCTTGAAGCTGTGGGGCTTGCCCACAACAGGTGGACTGGAGCACTACAAGTAGAAATGTCCACCATAATATCAGCGACAAAACTGGATGATAAAGGGCTTGGGCCGGGCCATGTAGTAGTGGTGGTGATTGAAACTAGTGGGATTAAAGCCTCAGGAAGTGTCTTGGGATTTTCCCCAGAAAACTTCTTTAATTACCTGCACTAAACTTGTTCATCTATGCACTTTACTGGGTAAGTATTGTACTATATACTTACTGGTTTCTTACTATATTTATTTTTCATATTTTCAAGAAACTAATAATGGATCTTGTGACAATTTTTATATAAATTTGTATTCTTACAAGCTACTATTGTATTATAAATAGTATTTCATTGAAGTATTAACCCCTGAACTGTTCATTATTTGTTTATTAAAATATTCATTATATAATATTAAAGATTTTATTTTACTTGTGTCCAGTCTCTGACTTTCTTGCATTCATGTTAGATGTTTTAGGTGTTGCTAATGGCTTTCCTTTGTTATTCTTCCTTACCCAATGTTACTCTTTTTTACAATTGTTAGGCCTCATTTTGATTATGCACTTCAGTTTTGGTTACCCTACTATAGGATGAACATAAATTCACTTTAATGTGTACAGAAAAGAATGACAGTTAATGCCAGGAATTAGAAACCTTCCATTTGAAGAGTTTAAGAAAGCTTAATTTACATTCTCTAGCAAGGTGAAGAGCTAAGGGAGAAATGATTAAAGTATACAAATGGATGAAAGAGTATGGCGAGGGGAATATTAATATGGTGCTAAACATAATGGCACAAAATAGAACACAGAACAATGGAGATACAGTAAATTGAATAAGACTAGATTTGGAAAAGACCTTCATAAATACTAGTTTAAAAACTAATTTGTAACAAATTACCTGATAATATACTGTAATAGATTTGAGATCATTGAATTGTTTCAAGCTTAAGTTAGACATTCAGTATAATGTATATGAATGAGATGGTTTGGTATAAAAAAAAAAAAAAGTGCTGCCTCATATAAGCCAATTGGCCTTCTGTAGTTTCCCATACAGTATTCTTATGATGGTCTTAATGTTGCCCTCCAGTTCCTGTTCTTGGATCGGGCCGACTTGCCTGAGCACACACTCCGGTCCAGTGCAACTAGTCAGAGTCTAACGCCTAAAGGTGATCTCATAACTACAACTACAACTACATATGTCAAGGCTCCAGAATCACAAGGTAATTATAGAGCTTTTCATGCCTGCAGCTTGAGATATCTTGATTGATTAATGTTTTGATGGATTATTAAACTTTGATGCTTTATTTCTGTTAAATTTGTCCAAATATATTTGATTCCATTAAGGAATGATTGATTTGGTTATGATTGATACTTACTGGTTGTCCTTAAGCCTGGTTTATACTATATATCCCTGCAAAAACAAAAAACAAACAAAAATATAGAGCAGTCACCTGCTGATGTGGATAGTCCTATGCATTGCTGGTTTCCACTTTTTTAATTGTGGATTGTCATTTTTGAAGAGTAGTTACAGGATGAAACTATGCTCGTGGTGTCCTGTCTTCCCGAAACTGTCATATGACACCTTGAAACTACTGATGGTTTTGGCACGAACCACCACCTCGCCTAACTTGTTCCAATAGTCTACAACTCTGTTTAGAAAAGATAACTTTTGTATTTTGTTTTTTGGTACCTTGGATTTCCTCACAAAGGATTTCAACCTTCGTAGGTTTGATTAGAGGTGTATGGTGCAGCTATGATTATATTCCAGACTTAATTTCACATTTGTGAGGAACACAGCAAACTTTGAATTTCTAATTTGGGATTGTTTGGTGAAAGGTTTTTAATAGGTAAACTCTATATCTATTTTTGAACTAGCATTTTTCCCATATAGCTTTACAGCTTTTCCCATATAGCTTTATTTGAGTCAATAGGCCCACATTATGGTGCATTTGTTTATAATAACTGTATTGTTAACTTTGACATTACTATTGATTGTTTGAACAGATGTTGTTGTTAATGGAGGTGATGGAATTGCTGCTGCAGTGTTAAGAGATATTGAAGGCAAAAAGGTTGTAGTGGCTAACAATGCCAGCAAGTCGACCATGATCATCCATGCCTCCAGAAAAGTAAGTGTACACCAAGGGGAAGTTTTCTTTACTTTACTTTTCTTTACTTTAATACTGTGTTATTAATCTTATCTTTTAATATGTTTTGGATGAGGTGAATTTATTTTATTACATAATTTGAGTTTTAAGTCGTTTTAAATTCAGTTAGTTGTCACAGCTTTTTTTTTTGCGTTTGTTTGTATTATATAAATTAATGCATGCAATTATGCATGCACAGTAAGATTAATATGTCTGACAGATGGCCTAACGGCCATATGTATTCAGTATGATTAATATATATACTGTACCTGAATTTACCTGAGGGCCAGCATTTCTAGAGACCTTGACAGGTAAAGGAAGCTGGCAACATATCATTGATTCTTCCCCTCCCTCCCTTCCATTATTCTCCTTTTTACCAGCTGAATTTTGAATTGGCATACTGTCTTGGTTTTTTTTTACTTTGATGGGTGAAAAAATGTCTCGTGTTTTCTGTCCTACAGTGTGGCTTGTTAAGCTTGAAGCTGTTGTCTCTTATGTGGGGTTACATTTAAAATGTTAAAGAAGTTATTTGGATTAATATCTTCCGATTCGTTTAGTATCTTTAATGTCTTGACAAGATGAATCCTCTAATGTCGGGTTTATATTGTTGTTAGTCCTAAGGCCATCAGTCTTTCCTGATATGAGAGTTAATTTAGTTCTGGAATGATTGTTGCTGATCTGTGCTGAATACTTTCTAAATCATTTATGTCCTTTTTGAAGATGAGATCTCTATTCTGTACTATACTTAGATACTGTAGTCCAGATGGGAAAGGGGGAAGGGGGGGGGGGTGCACCAGAGAATTGTCATATTCTTGAATATGGTTTTCACAGCTTTAATGCACTTGGTTCCCTACAACACATCTGAAATAAGACAAGTCAAAGGTATAAGGAATGAATTACAAATGATCATAATAAAGGATTCTACAACAAGAACAAACTAATATTATCTAATTAATTGGATATTTCTAAGTATGACAAGGTTGTTCTGGAAACTGGATCACACTGGAAGAGTGCAACCCGTTCTCGCAAATTTAATAAGTCAATATTGACTTATTAGTTGCGTGCATAGGTGACATACTAAACATAATAGTTTCCCTTGAAAAGCTTCATAGAAAACACCGACCTTACCTAACCTACTTAGTATGTTAAAATAAGCATCTTATAGCTTCGTAATTACAATTGTTACTTAACCTATTATAGGTATAGGTTAGGTAATAATTGTAATTACAAAGCAATAAGATGCTTATCTTAACATACTAAGTAGGTTAGGTAAGGTCGGTGTTTTCTATGAAGCTTTTCAAGGGAAACTATTATGCTAAGTATGTCACCTATACACATATTTAATAAGTCAATATTGACTTATTAAATTTGCGAGAACGGGTTGAAGAGTGACAGGGAGATTTCTGACATGGGATGTTGCTCTGCTTAAAATTATCATTCGTTTTATGTTAATATTAAGTGAAAACGTTGTCTCTGCTTTCACACGACCTGAAGGGTGACTATTGATTTACTTGATGTATGTACTAATATTGTCTTGGTGTGCATGCACTAATGTTAGCTAGGTGTGTGTGTGTTCATTAACATTTGCTTGATGAGCATGCACTAATGTTAGCTTTGCATGTGTGTGTACAAATGTTAGATTGGTGTGTATTCACTAATATTAGCTGTGTGTGTGTGTGTGTGTGTGTACTCACCTAATTGTGCTTGTGGGGATTGACCTTTGGCTCTTTGGTCCCGCCCTGTGTGTGTGTGTGTGTGTGTGTGTGTGTGTGTGTGTGTGTGTGTGTGTGTGTATTAATGCTAGGTTGGTGAGCATGCACGAATGTTAGTGTCTATGCACTATAGTTAATTTGGTGAGCGTGGACTGCTGTTAGCTTGCTGATGGCACTAAAGTTAGGCTTTTCTCTTGATTCTAAATGCAATCTGAACATGTAATAATAAATCTCTTGATTATTAATTGCATATCCTCTCACTTGTTAATCAAAAGTGCAAGGAATGTTGTTGTCAAATATTACCTTGCATGTACATAATATTGTTTTGATAGTGCTAAAGATTTATGCATAAGGTATTAAATTATGCTATTCTTTATAAAAAAAAAATTATATTTTGCAATACCACTAACAAGACTGTATTTGACTCTGTTCACAGTTGTTCAGCATATAGGTGCTGACTTGTGTTTACCTTAAGCTCTTCAAGAAGATATAGTCGCATAATTATGATTGTTTTCTTTTCTTTTTAATACTCTCAAGGAAATTACGAAGAAAGTGATCCAGGTAAGATTGATTTTTATTGAACATGTTTTAACATAAATCATTGGTTCAAAAATTAAACATCTTTCATGTCAACACAAGACCTTTTAATTCCGATCAAAAATTGGCTGTTATGGCATTTTGAAATGAGGAAGTCTTTATGAATAAATAGACAGGTGTTAAGGAATACTGAATAAGGAGGTTTTCAGTTTATACTAATACACAGTTTTAAGGGTTACTAAATGAGCAGTTGTTCAGGGTTATTAATGAACAAGTGTTTAGGGTTACTAAATGAACAAGCATTTAGCTTTATTAAATGAGCAAGCATTCAGGGGTTGCTAAATGAGCAAGCATTCGGGGATTACTAAATGAGCAAGCATTCGGGGATTACTAAATGAGCAAGCATTCCGGAATTACACAATTAGCAAGCATTCAGGGGTTACTAAATGAGCAAGCATTCAGGGGTTACTAAATGAGCAAACATTCAGGGGTTACTAAATGAGCAAGCATTCAAGGGCTACTAAATGAGCAAGCATTTGGGGATTACTAAATGAGCAAGCATTCTGAGTTTTTAAGTAGGTTTAAGCAGGTTTTTACTTTTTTACCTAATTCAACTGAAGAATTTGGAATGGAATTGTTTTGTATTAGTTATACTTGTGTTGCATTCCCACAACATTTTATTGGCTGGTGCAAATATTTCTTTTGGGTGGATATCATGGAATGTGGGAATGATTGGTGTAGCTTGGGAGAGCCAGGACTGGTGTTTGTGGTACTCATGGCATTGATTTCCAGAATATTCTTAAAGTGGAAAGTGCTGTGTCTATTATATGCATTTTGTACTCTTACTATTATCATCATGATACGATTTTGCATCCAACTCTCAAGCTTGCTAAACAAACTACTGAATGTTGCTCAATCCAACAAATTACTGAATGTTGCTCAATCCAACAAACTACTGAATGTTGCTCAATCCAACAAATTACTGAATGTTGCTCAATCCAACAAACTACTGAATGTTGCTTGTACCAGTATTTTACTGTGCAAAATTTTAGCTGCCTTTCCAAGCAGTGAGATGTAAGGAATTGTGACGAATTCCCTGCATAATAATTCACAACTTACGGCAATGTTAATGTGAACCAGAGGAGGATACTCTATTGTTTTTATCTTAAAAAATATTTGAGTACAAATTTTAATAAAATATATTTCAAAGAGTAAAATAATTTATTTCAATTTCGTTAGGTGACCATCTGGTTTTTCATAGGACTCTTAGAAAGTGCTAGTAATGATTTTGCTTTGTATATAAAAATAACATGGTTGGCCATTGTAAAATGTATTCAAATTTTGTATAATATGTTCTGTAAAGCCTCTTGGAGACACGGGGACATGTATACAGAAAATGCTGGCTTACTCCATTATCTCGGGAGTATTGAATGACTATGTGCTCCAGCACACAGCCAATTGACACTAGGTAACAGAATATGTACAATATAAATGTGATACACATACACAGTAATGCTCAATATGTTCAGCAGAAAGCCTATATAGAAATTGAATGGACTGATGGCAGTTAAGAAATTCAGAGACTGTATCTATAACTGAAACTTTGATAATGCTCACATGTGTATTGATGTGTGTCAAGGTGTGATGTAGTAATACTAACTAAACGCTCTTGCTCGTCTATTATGCTATATTTATAGTAATTACTGTTAGAATAAATTTCAAAATTTATAAATTCCATTGAACACTTTGGTAATTTAATATTTTGGTAATTGAAATTGTCTCCTGGCTAGAAATTATGTATGTAATAGGACATACACATTGCCTCAAAAATTTCTGTTAAGGCTGAAAATGTGTATGAGATGTTTATAATCTTATGATATAAAACAATTCATATATGATGTGTTTCTTGTGCCCTTGATTCCCTGCTGGCAGAGTAGTACACAAGCTTCACTTTCCAGTTTGTTACTAGCAAAATGCTTGCTATAACTTTTAAAAGTAAAATTCTCTGAGTGTCACATGGTAATTAAAGTAACATTAATTTAGTAGGATTCAAGTACACAACTTTAACAAAAGTATGATAGCATAGTGTTATGGCTAAACTTGATATTAGCTGAATAGAACTTGATTATTGTTGCGCTGCAGATATAGTACTGTAATCTCAATTACATGGGTCTTTCGGTCTAGTGTAATGGCTAATCAGATATATAGCTTGAATTTGACATTTCATTTGTTTGCAGACATACTCCTCCGTTGTTAATAGTTATGAGTTCCATGGTTTGGCATGAAAATAAAAAACAAAAACTTCAGTTAATCATATATATTTGTGCTACCATTCTCAACAAAAATATAATGGTCCTAAAAAGCTACAGGCCTAATAGACAAGTATGTGTTGTGGTTTCTAATAACCATGATAAATAGTGCCTTGCATTTCAAAAAGTAAAGTAATTAAGAATATTGTCTTTTAAAGTTTAGTGGAGTGTAAAGTCATTTGCAGACCTCATATATATTTGCAGAATGTATCTGGCAAAAAGTACTCGGTCGCAGTTGTAATGTTTCTCATAATGTAAGAGAATAGAGATACTTAAATTTTTAATCAACAAAATTTGAGCTAATAACCATCTTGCTGTATGCTATCAGACCCAGTAATGGCACCCTCTCCTTCCCTGGTTGTTATTACTCCCAGGTCGAGCGAGCTCCGAGTGGCGAATACAAGGAGCTGACGGTACAGGTATTATTTTACTCTATAGTCACGCACAAGGTTCGGCTGCATGTGCCTTGAGCTTATTTTATGCAAACAGCACCTTTAATCTTCTTGGCACTTCTTGTGTAAATTCTTGTTAATGATATTTAAATGAATATAAATTCTAATGGGTAATAAACATAAATAGGCATTTGGCATGTAATCTGTAAAGCAAGTCTTCTATTCATAGGCTCTGCTAGTGTTTCATATTGAGTCGTATACAAAATGGCTTGAAATTATATTAAAGTGTTTTCTTTCTTATGTTCTTCTTGAAGGTATTTATTATCAGAATGATTATGATGCATGCTCTGATAATGAATGGCAAACGCAAAACAAAAGCAGTGTGTAGCACAGTTTATGCTTTGGCTTTGTCTTGCTGCATAGTATTCTTCCCAGCACCCGACCCTTGATGGTCTCCTCAGTGGTGTTTAAACCATGTACAATATGACTGGAATATTTGTATTTCTTGAGGTCATGAAAATTATTAAATTAAACTAAACAATTACTGGTTCCCCCATAAATAGCTCAGTATGTATGTTGACTTTGTATGTATGGCAAGTTTATGGAAAATTGAGACAAGTTATCTAAGTTGCATTTAACAGCTTTTATTATTCTATACAATATTTTTGCTTAAATATCTTCCTGTTATTGGCAGCACATTGAATGTTAACAATAAGTTGCTTGTTCAGTAAGTATTTACATCTTTGTAATGGAAATCTTTATATTGGTGGTGCACTTTAATTTTAAAATTTGTATTATTTTGGGGTGTGTTTAACTCATTTCGGGGGTTTTGAGCATTATTTTAGATATAAAAAGTTTCTCTCTACAAGCACAGAATTCATTGTTTTGCTTTCAAATATTCCAGTGGATGAGTATTTTAGTACTGCATTTCATGTAGATTGTAACCCTGTATTTTACTTATGCTGTCTGGTATAAAGTGATGACTGTTTTTCACAATTTGAGTACTTCTCATTAGTGTTAGTTTGAGAGAGGAGTTATGCACAGGAAATGGTATTTTAACCACTGCACTGCGCAAAGCGCCTTTAGGCGCTCAGAGAGTTGTGCTTTTTGTTTTTTAATTTGGCTATATTTTAATGTTTTTTAATGTTTTCATTACTATTTGTGTTTTGAAATGGAAATAGTTGACTTTGGAAACATTTTGACATTAAATTTACCTGAACATTTGTAAAAATAACAAAAATATGTCCTTGTCAATTGCACCAAGATGTTTTTGCCGAAAATAGGTGAGCAGTGCAAGGGTTAAGGAGATTGTCTTGATCACCTGCGAGAAAGTAATTGTGATGGGTAAATTGGAGTGCATATCACCCTATTAATTGATATTTTCTTTGGGCACATTTATATTACAATACTGCTTTTGTCATTGAGGTAAAGTTGCAAGTATTGAAGAGAGTGACCCCTTGCCTGCAAAGTCGTGCAGTTTGAGGTTATTGTGATTAATGGTGTCAATAGCCTTGCAGGGATCCTCAAACAAATGTTTTAACCATTAATTTAGATCAAGAGCTGCATGTATCAAGTCTAGCTTCGTTGGTACTTCTATGGAGGCTGAGGCCATATTGGGAAGAGCTAAGTTTTTTAGGTTTAGCTAGGTAGGAGTAAAGTTGTTCATACATTAGTTTTTGAAATGTACTTTTTTGTCTTTCATATAGTGTTAAATCACTGATAAATTAAGTAGTTATTTGGTTACTGAGCAAGCTTTACAAGTTGCTCAATGACATGGTAGATACTGTATTGCATATTCAGTGGAGCAGGATGGAGTGATAAAACATGGTTGAGGGGGGAATGTAGGATGATGGATTTTCCCTTACCCAGAAATTGGAGCTTTATTACATTCAACGCTGGCTTTTGACGTGCTTGATTTATCCACGTCTTGGATGAAGTACTGCTCATGCACTTTAAATATATATTTCTAATTTCTAATTAATCCACAGCCAGATGAGGAGGGGGATCATCTTGCCTTTCCCAGTGGAAACTTAATGGCACTCACCACCACAGCAACCACCACAACACCTACTATTACCACCACACCCACTCGCAGCGCTGGAACAGCAACCGGTTTAATGCCAACTACTCCCACGAGAACCACATCTACTTCTACCACTGAAACGACTGCTGATGGAGCAGAACTTAATGAAACTGATGGTAAATAATAATAATAATAATAATAATAATAATAATTTATTTAGGAAAAGTACATACATAGTTGCAGCGTTACAGTACAAACATTCTGTTTGATTTAAAGATAGAGGTAGTACATACAATGCCTAAAGCCACTAGTACGCATAGCGTTCTCGGGCGTTTCGGACATGGGCCATATATGTCATTTATGAAATTAAGATGAGATAATCTTTGGAGCAAGATGGTGTGAAGGAACCAGCATCCTGGGTCACACAGGATGCATGGATGACCCCCAGGATGCTGGTTCTATCCCACTGTCCTGTGCCAAAGATTTTCTAACAGACTATCATGTTACTGTATTGTAATTTGTTTGGCTAAAACTAAGATGCTTTAACGTAAAATTGTAAATGGATTAGTATATTTTGAATACCAGTCATATTATTTTGAATATTCATAATGACTTTTTATCAAATAAAATGTTAGTTAATTATTATTGAAAAATTAATACTAATGTTTTTCACTAATGGACAGAAAGAGGTAGAAGTAGAGGTGTCCGCCGTAAACGAGATTCTTTCTTTGGAACGCTAAAGAAAAGATTTAGTCGATCTAAAGTGAGATCCAAAAGTGTTGATCCGAGTGCCAGAGACACATCTATGGATCGAGATGCTTCTGTAGGGCGCTCTGTGTCTGTGGAGAGATCTTCTAACATCAATAGAGCATCAGGTGAGGTCTAGATTATTTATTGTGGCTAAAGATTTTTAATATTTATTTTTAACAATATAAAATATTTCGGTTCCCAGGTTCAATTCCCATGGCATGATACAATGTTTGGGAAGTATTTCCTTTGACCTGATGCATCTGTTCACCTAGTAGTAAATAGGTATGGAGTAGTTAAGACACTGATGTGAGTTGCATCCTTAGAAAGGTCAGTAGTTGGCCTAAGGGAACATTGATAACCCTGGCAGGCTTACTAGCCCAACTATGGAAAACCATACACACAGAAATCACAATAGTGTGATTTCTGTGCCGTGATGAGGGTTCGAACTCACGCCCGGGATAATCCTAGACGACTATCGTGGTGCAGTTGACTAAGGCAGCGTCTGGGATTATCCCGGGCATGAGTTCGAACCCTCATCACGGCCTTTGTGGATTTGTTTTATGGAAAACCACTTTCTAAAAGAAATGATCCTCTCCTATTTGACTGTTATTTAGCTCACTCCAAGGAAAGTTAGTTCTATTCCAGCATTTTAAAACAATATATTAGTCCTTTATTTTGAGAGAAGTAAAACAATATGTGGACATAATAATGTTGAGTAAGAAGCATAAAGTTGTATGCTAATAAAGAAGGTTTGTATTGGAGAGAGATACAAGTGGCTGTGGTGGAGCAAGTGACAACCTCAACAGTGCAAAACTCCAGTTTTTTTTTACGCATTTCTTTGACCATTCATTTTGACCATTTGATAACAAGTTTTGCTTAATGTGAAAGTCAAGAGCAAGGCATTGCATGTCAGTGAGGTCATTGTGAAAAGTTTATGAATGTGTAGAGCAAGTCAAATAGTGGATCCGTGGGTGTGCAGCTGAAGTCCAGGTTTGTGAAGGGGGAAAGTATTTATGATTTGCAAGGTGGGTTGGCTTTGCTGGAGTGTTATTCTGGGAATGATACCTGGTTGATACCTGGTTCATGGGGTTCTGGGAGTTCTTCTACTCCCCAAGCCCGGCCCGAGGCCAGGCTCGACTTGTGAGAGTTTGGTCCACCAGGCTGTTGCTTGGAGCGGCCCGCAGGCCCACATACCCACCACAGCCAGGTTAGTCCGGCACTCCTTGGAGAAAATGATCTAGTTTTCTCTTGAAGATGTCCACGGTTGTCTCGGCAATATTTCTTATAGTCGCTGGGAGGATGTTGAACAACCGTTGACCTCTGATGTTTATACAGTGTTTGCTGATTGTGCTTATGGGATGATAAGTGGCCTACAATACTACACTAGCAAGTTGCATAAAGCTTTCTCTTTTTTTTTTTTTTTTTTTTTTTTTTTTTTTTTTTTTTTTTTTTTTAGAAATTGTAAGTTAAAGTGCAATTCTTTTCATATTTGAAGCTTCATATTTATATCTACCATTTAAACTAGATTTATTTTTAATTTTAGAATGAAAGCAAATTCTGCACCATTCAATTTGACTCCCTGTAGAAATAAAGAAGCCAGAGCAATTTGTTTTTGTCATGAATTTTATTTGGAAATTCTGAGCTATTAGAAACTGATTGATTCTTAAGATAAGATTTGTCATGTCCTCTGGAGAAGGATTATGACAGTGCGGCAAGTGACATTCTTGCCATCAACACCTTTAGGAAGTTTTCAAACAGCCCCTACATGGTCGTGAAAGATATTGGTGAAAGGGGTCAAGTGAACTGTCAAACGAGGTCGTTACCCAATTCCCATCTATATGCCCACCAACCTAGTACACCTAACCACCGACTGAGGGCTGTACCTCAGTCTCAGGTCCCCTTAATGTACTGTACACATTTTCCAGATTATGTGGGAAGTCAGCAGTCGGGGATCAAAACTAACTAGACTTGTTCATCTATTGAACCTCAATATGTGCAGGTGGCTTGTGCTAGTCTTATTCAGTATAGGGAATAGGGGATATTATTAGGGGATATTCATCCCCTAATATCTGGATTATAATATTTTAGATCTGTTCTGGATTTTACATGAATTCTAGATGTCTGAAGATTTGGCCATTTTTAACTATAATAAAATTTGAATGAGTTTTCTTATATATCAATTGATAGCGCATGTTTGCACATATGTAGACACAAATGATTTATAAACAATGATTTTGTAAAATACTTATACTGTACTGTGGTCACGGCTGACAGTGTTGGTATATAAGGTACTGCAGTATGGTAAGTGTTAATCAATTTGCCTTTTCTGTTTTACAAATTGTTGTTATAGTGAAATCAACACCCATTTATTAAGACATAATAAAGTTACTAATGTCCATTAGGCCACTTACTTATGCTATGCATTTATTGTTGTTTTGTGTTCCTAGTAATTGTTGAAATCCACTGTATATTTTTGTCTGTTATTTTTAGTTATTGCCAAGTCACCCACTGAAGTCTATTTAATTTGTAAACTAAATATGAATTCATTCATAAAATTTAATTTGATACTTAACTCTTTGCAGACTAAATTTCTGTATATGTTACAGATATGAAATTCTCAGAATTGCAGAATTAAATCAAATATGTACCTGCTGGCTAACTTCTAGAGTTTTTCACAATTATTAGTAATAACTGCAGTTCTAAACACCATTCAATAAAAATCTGTCATCATCATAATCACATTTTAAATTTTTTGAGTTTCATGGACAAGCAAAGTAAAAATATGTTTTGCATTTATTGCCTGGTTACTATGGCATATTGCCTAGGAGGAATGTGTGTATTTATCATGACAGATGGTATGGTATTTTTTAAATATTTATAAACAAAGACTTTTTGGGTAAAATGTTGTTCATTTGAACAAAAATTAAGATGAGAATAGCTACCACTTCACATGATTGTGATATGTTCATTAATGATTATTTATTTTACAGCCAATGACTTGAAGTGCCTGCAAAGGGTCAAATGTCATTTTATTTACTGTATCATCAAACGTCATGTTACCTGTTAAATTGTTTATACCTGTGACTTTAAGTGGTTGGCAACTTGTTAAATGTAGCAAAATTCTTTTATGGACTGCCTCTTTGAACTAATTGTTACACTATATGTACCACCTTATAACAGAGGAGCAGCAAGTGAAGCCAAGCTTTCTCCAAGACACAATAGCGCCAAGTGAGTTGGATGCCACCCCCAGTACCTGGCTCTCACTTTCTGCCCTCCTCTCCCTCACGTCTGCTTACCTTCCTCCTTTAAATATGAAATATACCTTAACCCTTACACTGCTCCAGTTATGATCTGTGATTTCCTCGTGAACAAATCCCATACATTTATGGGTTTTCAATACTTTGTTCCCCCTGTGCATCTGGATATATGACTTAAATGTCCTAGCAGTTTAAGGGTTAATAATTTTTTTTTAAATCATGTCAATTTCCCGCTGCTGCACATAGGCTCATCTTGATCCTCTATCCAAGCCTAAAACCTACTGTCCACTGTGGTATATCTTTAATGGCATATGCACATCAAACACCTTAGCTTGAAAACTTCTGAGTTCTTGGTGAAAGATAAAACTACCCAATTTCAAGATTTTATTTACCTCCTGACTGTACAGTCCTCTTTAAATGCTAAGTTTTAACCCTTAGAACACTTTAGCTTCTGTAAATATAATTTTAAATTAATTTCAACATTATTAAATAATTCCACCATTATTAGCATATTAGCAGCAGGTTCACTAGTCAGTGATATTGGCACCAGTCTCACAAATTGGTGGTAGTGGCAACAGTCTCACCAGTCAGTGACAGTGGTATAAGGTTCACCAGTCAGTGATAGCAGTGACACGAGGTTCACCAGTAACTGATAGTTGATACAAGGATAGCCAGTCTGTAGTAGTCGACCTGGTGCCACCTCATTGACTGGGCAACAGTTACCGACTGGTGAACCTGGTGCCAAGCAGTGTGTGTGCTTTATATTTATTGAAAGAGACAGGGAATGGGACATAATAAAATGGTAAATAACCCTCTTGCTGACCAGATGGACAATTGTACTGTACATTGATATAACAGAACTTGTGCCCCAGGAACTGTGTTTTAGTGAGGCATTGTTATCTGTTAGGGGGTACTGTACTAGGTGTCTGGGCTCTGGGGAGTGCGGTTGGATAGAGGCTTTATTTGGCAGTCTCTTTTTGATACCAAGGGAGAACTCGTTTACAGATTTGAGCTTACTACTGTATATACAGAATGTGTCTGCTATTGGTCACATTAAGCTGGAATAGGCTTTATTCTAGTGCTACCCTCTAACATTTTTAATGACCCAACAGGGACACTTTAAAAAGTTCCTGGTAACACTGATGCAGAGAATGTCACTCATCAGGCTGTTATGATCCTTAGCCAGCAGTCCCCATGATGAAGTGGTAACACTCTCGCCTGGTGTTTCACGAGCGCTTTGGCCTAGGTTCGTATCCTGGCTGGGGAGGATTGACTTGGCGCCAATCCTTAACTGCAGCCTCTGTTCACCCAGCAGTCAATGGGTACCTGGTTGTTGAACGATTTGGCGGGTCGTATTCCGGGGAAAATTATGATTAAAGACTCTCACGAAACGCTGTGCGTGCTAGTGGCTGTGCAAGACTGTAAGAACTCGTGTATATATAAAAAAAAAAAATTATCCAGAGGATACGATGAGTTTTATATAAGGGACAACTAATAGCCATGCTCATGAAGGTGTATTTTATGTCTACTCAAAGATGAATTGTTAAGTGATTATGAGATACAATATAATCTGTACAGTACAGTGAACTCAACACTCGTTACTTGTTTTTTATTTGCTTAAATTTAATTTCATTATGTTATAGGTGAAGCTTCAAAGGGAATAATCATAAATTGGCTCCCCTTTACTTAAGGTTTACATGATTTATTATTAAATCAAAGTAACCTTCAACACTAATGTATATCATTGTAAACTACTGTATGAGCTCAGTATCCGAAGTCTACTGAACCAAATATTTAGGTTATCTGGCCAAATTGCATCCAGGTAATTTTCTGCCAAACTTTACCATATCTGGACAGACATCTGGATAACTAGGCGATTTGGCTAGGTAATGCAGACTAGCACAGAGTCTTAAGTCTGGATAATTTTTGCCAATATGTAGTCATGTCTGGACAGAAATCCGGATAACCAGGGATTAGGTTACGTAGATTTTCAAGAACTACACAGTAGTTCAAGATCTACAATATCAAGTAAACGAACTACAACAAGGTAAGCTGACGTTTCTCATTTAAATTATAATTTTGATTTATAGTGTGTATGTGGAAATTAAAGTTGTTGGTTGTGGGACAAAAAATTAAGAATATGGTCAGTTTTGGATTTTCCTGGTGGGATCTCTGCTTATCTGGATGTCTGGCTTACCCAGTAAAGGGGGGGAAAGGGTCTTTCCCATATACTGTAGTCTGGATAAGTGAGCTTAGACATTATATATGACAAAAGTAACCAGTGTAGAGATTTTTTCTTAGTTCAGCTTTTATGTACAGTATATTTAGTGGTGCATTTCCAGTAAAAATAATTCATAGTTCCATTTATTTATTGTAAAAATTGAATATAATTATCACATTGAATGTTTTTGTTTCTTTTGCACTTGTATTTATAATTATTGTTTTCTGAGCAATCCGAGTTTAACCCCATGGTAAAATTCCTGTTTTTGAGTAAGAAGTGTGAAATAGAGTGAGGCAGGGCAACAATGTGGTATCTGTATTACAGGGAACAAATAAAGCAGTGCTAGTAGAGTCATAACAGTACAGTACTAGGGAGCACTCTAACATGCCATCCAGTCATGTGTTATGTCTAGAAGTCACTGATTTCAAGACACTCTGAGCCCTTTCAGACCTTCCTTTGTCACTGAGACTTCCAGAGAGCGCACTAGCTAACAACCAGTTGGTCTTTGTGATAACCTAACCTGACCATCACCAGATGGCTGTGCCATATACTGTACACAACAGCATTGTTTGGGGAACATTACTGACTTCTTTTTGTACTGTACTTACCTAATTGTGCTTGCGGGGGTTGAGCTCTGGCTCTCTTTGGTCCCGCCTCTCAACCGTCAATCAACAGGTGTACAGGTTCCTGAGCCTATTGGGCTCTATCATATCTACACTTGAAGCTGTGTATGGAGTCAGCCTCCACCACATCACTTCCTAATGCATTCCATTTGTCTACTACTCTGACATTGAAAAAATTCTTTCTAACATTTCTATGGCTCATTTGGGCACCCAATTTCCACCTGTGTTCCCTAGTGCATGTGCCCCTTGTGTTAAAAAGTCTGTCTTTATCTACCCTATCAATTCCTTTGAGAATCTTGTATGTGGTGATCATGTCCCCTCTAACTCTTCTGTCTCCCAGTGACATGAGGTTTAATTCCCGTAGTCTCTCCTCGTAGCTCATACTTATCAGTTCTGGTACTAGTCTGGTGGCAAACCTTTGAACCTTTTCCAGTTTAGTCTTATGCTTGACTAGATATGGACTCCATGCTGGAGCTGCATACTCCAGGATTGGTCTGACATATGTGGTATATAATGTTCTGAAAGATTCCTTACACAAGTTTCTAAAGGCCGTTCTTATGTTAGCCAACCTGGCATATGCCACTGATGTTATCCTCCTGATATGAGCTTCAGGGGACAGGCCTGGCGTGATATCAACCCCCAGGTCTTTCTCTCTCTCTCTGACTCTTGCAGGATTTCATCTCCCAAATGATACCTTGTATCTGGTCTCCTGCTCCCTACACCTATCTTCATTACATTATATTTGCTTCGGTTAAACTCTAACAACCATTTGTTCGACCATTCCTGCAGGTTGTCCATGTTTTTTTGAAGCCTCCTTCTGTCCTCCTCTGTCTTAATCCTTCTCATAATTTTGGTGTCGTCAGCAAACATTGAGAGGAATGAGTCTCTACCCTCTGGGAGATCATTTACGTATATCAGAAACAGGATAGGTACAGAGCTCTATGGGACTCAACTGGTGACTTCACGCCAATCTGAGGTCTCACCCCTCACTGTAACTCTCTGCTTCCTATTGCTTAGGTACTCCCTTATCCACTGGAGTGCCCTACCAGTTACTCCTGCCTGTTGTGTGTGTGTGTGTGTGTGTGTGTGTGTGTGTGTGTGTGTGTGTGTGTGTGTGTGTGTGTGTGTGTGTGTGTGTGTGTGTGTGTGTGTGTGTGTGTACTCGTCTAATTGTACTCGCCTAGTTGTGCTTGCAGGGGTTGAGCTCTAGTTCTTTGGTCCCGCTTCTCAACTGTCAATCAACTGGTGTACAGATTCCTGAGCCTACTGAGCTCTATCATATCTACACTTGATGCTGTGTATGTGTGTGTGTGTGTGTGTGTGTGTGTGTAATTTCCTAAGTGTAGTTACAGGATGAGAGCTACATCCGTGGTGTCCTGTCCACCCAGTACAGTACTTTGTCATATAACGCTTTGAAGCTACTGACGGTTTTGGCCTCCACCACCTTCTCACTTAACTTGTTCCAACCATCTACCACTCTTTTTGCGAAAGGGAATTATCTTATATTTCTTCGGCATCTTTGTTTAGTTAGTATAAATCTATGACCTCTTGATCTTGAAGTTCCAGATCTCGGGAAATCTTCCCTATCGATTTTATCAATTCCTGTTACTATTTTGTACGTAGTGATCATATCACCTCTGTTTCTTCTGTCTTCTAGTTTTGGCATATTTAATGCCTCTAATCTCTCCTTGTTGCTCTTGCCCTTCAGTTCTGGGAGCCACTTAGTAGCATGTCTTTGCACTTTTTCCAGTTTGTTGATGTGCTTCTTAAGATATGGGCACCACACAGCTGTTGCATATTCTAGCTTTTGTGTGTGTGTGTGTGTGTGTGTGTGTGTGTGTGTGTGTGTGTCAATTTGGTGGGAGAGGACCAAAACTCGGTTAAGTAACTCGTTTCATTCCGAGAAGAGCTGGAAGAGGTTAATGAATATATAAATCGTGCCTTATTAACACTTTCGCGCTCTCGGCGCTCAAAAAAAAAATACCCCAGATGCTTTCGGCACTTCGCGCGCCTATGCGGTAAAACCGAAAAAGTGTACACTCTTTTGACTGTCCTGACAATAATTGAAGGCGCACGTATTTAAATTTGGTATCACTGTGTTCGCAATGAAATTGTCTATAAGATCATACGTATAAAATGCCGCCCAAGCATAAGGAGTATCAACACCAAATAAAAAACTATGCAGATCACTCGCCGAGAGCGCCAAACAGCAACAAAATGTTTCCACTCTCTTAATGGTTGCGAAGCCTACAGTTGTCCTACATCGCTAATTTTGGTATCATTGGAATCGCAATAAAATTCTCTACACGGACATATGCATATGAATGTTTAATATAGGTAATTGCCCACCCGCAAGAGTGTGTGAAGTGGAGAGTAGTTAGCCGCGAGCGCACTGGCGAAAACACAGGGGGGGAAATCATGCTTGGAAAGTTTATACGTTTCCTGACCCTACTTTTCTATGTACGTATTTCTTTTTTATACCAATGTGTTCGCAATAAAATTTTCTATAAGATGAACTGTATAACATTTGTACAAAGCATGTGTAAGAGAAGCGCCAAATATAGAACCACGTCGCTCAGTCTGCGTTCGCGGCAGAAACGAACGCATTGTTTTCGTTCGTTTGATGTTTGGCATGTTTATACTTGTTGAAACATTTTATAATTTGTATGACAGTGATCACAGTAAAATTCCCTACACAGACATATACATAACACATACAAATATTTCCCACGTGTTGGATATATCAACGGCTAAATGGAACCCACTGCCACACGCTCGCCACACCCCCAAGCATACTTTGTGTATTTTTTTTTTTACTCATAGAAGTTTATGTGATATAATATTCATTCAGGTACCAAAAAATTCGCAAATAAATTCTCTACAAAACAAAAGTATCCCCATCCATTTCGGTTAAAAAATGGAATTTATAGAAATATTTTTTCGATTGACGAGAAAAGTAGGCAGTTATGCGGAATCGTAAGAAAAACCAGTGACGAGTTATCTCTAATCGAAAGCGTGAAAGTGTTAAGGTCATGTAAGTGTGATGATGATCTATACTCGCTAGTGCTATTAGGACACTGCAGGAACAGCTTGTAAAGTTTACTGTGTGCAGTTTACAATTCCTGCTGAAACACTGAAATCTTATCTTGATGAGCAACCACATAACTGATTCTTCAGGAAGCTTTTCATATACTCAAAACCTATTATATGCAATACTGAACATGTGCACACAACTCACCAATTCTGAGAGTTGATCAGTTCATAATTTATAGGCTATCTACCACAGAATTGATGCTGCCTTTTTCATGTATAGTATTATATGCCTCATTATATAATGTTGATCAGTATTAAATTATAATTGTTTTGCCAGGTTACATGTGCATGTAGTCCGTGCCCATTACATTTGTACGAGCTGTATGCCTATTTTTGGGGAAAGCCCCCCAGTGGCTCCTTATCATTTGTAACTTCCTGAGATTATACCATGATAAAAAACACATCTTTCATGGAAGATGTGTTTGACTTTCCGGGTACCAGAGCCAGAAACTGTCTTCCTGACACAGGCACAGGGAGTGAGTGGCATCGCACCACCCCACTGGGAAAGCATCCAGAAAATCGTGAAACTTAGCAACTAACCAGTGAGTTCACAGAAAATGAAGCCTAAAAGCTGGCAAACATCGTTACTAACAATACGTATGGAACAAAGGATTTACTCGAACTTGCTCAAAACTCATTAGTAGCAATCACCACCACACAGAGGACAGCACATTCTTGCAGCTGGCTACCCTGGTCAGTTTTGTTGCTGATGTTATGGTGGATGTTTTTACCAGTAGAGTTCTGGTCCCCCAATTGTGGGCAGCCTCGCTGCTTCATGCTAAGTGCTGGCCATCCTTGGACTTTGTTTATCATGCACAGACCATTTGCTTGTTACAGTATTATTGCCTTTATTTTATTATTAGCTTCGCATGCATGTTTTGTCTCCAGCTTGTTGTGTGAGCTTCCCTGGGTACCTGCTAGCACTGATCCTTGCACAGAGAAGAATCATCTCTGATGTGTGTTTGGGAGTTTGCCTGATAGGTAAGACCACCAAGGTGGAGAGCCTTGGTGGAGAATGTTTTATCACCTCTGACAACCTTATGCTTCTCCTTAGCCATTCTGGTCTCTTGACCGTGTTTTTGGTCTCTCGACCTTGTTTTGGTCTCTCTCTCCTCACCTTGGATTACAGTTTTTCCTTTGGTTTGTGATATCTTTCTCAAGGAAAATTCTTTGGAGCAGAACAGGGTTTGAATCAGCATCCTGAGTAACCCCAGATGCACAACTTAACCCATGGATATGTTCAAGAGTATTTAACCTGGAGCCTAGTCTCCTGACTCTTAGTCTGGAGACTAGGCTCCAACGATTTTCTTAAATATATCACGTTATTGTGATTTCCATTTGTACAGTATATCTTTCTTGAAGACTGCTTTTGTTGGTTCTCACCTTTGGCTATAGAGTTAGGGAGCTTCAGGCTCTTCTCTGGGGGCTGGGGTTATGTTCTTTTGGCTCTGGTGGTTGGCTTGTTCATTTGCAGCCTCCTCCTTTTTTGGTGAAGAATGAGTCAGCTGGCTTCTGGATGCATCCTTTGTTTATTGATGGTTGGTTGGACTGAAGGTGCATCATTTGTTGTCTGGTGGCAGCGCTTCACTGTTACCTGTGTTCTACCAATTTTGCCTTGGTGAACACCTTGTTGGTTGATCCCATTTCCTTGGTCCCCTTTTCCAAGGCTGCCTTTCTCAGGCTGTCTGCAGTGTCATTAAATCAAATCTAGCCAACCTAAGGTGTGCCTGTGGGCCTTTGATGTTTACAAGTAGTGGCCTTGGTTGTGATTTTCTCTAACATGTCCTAGGCAGATATTTGGACTCATAATTTTGGCAGTCTAACAGGGTCCTGGCAGCCCAGTATTTGCTCATGGTGCCTGATCCCATTTGGTATTGTTGCTTTGGGCCATACCCCCTCCAACTTAGTTTCTCTTCTTCCTATACATGCTGTCTCCCTTCTGTGGACAACCCCATTCACATTTTTTATGGATAATTAGCTTCTGGGAACCACTGGGGGCTATGCCCCAGAAACCCAGCATTGAATGTAATGAACCCCTCTTTCTGGTATAGCCCTGGTATGGTTTCTTAGTGGCTCCCTGATTTCCTCCCTTCCTTCCAGGTTTGTTGGTTTGTCGGTGAGTTGTTCATCAGCTCCAGAACTGTCCAGAGGAGCCAGCTGCGGGCAAGGTTCGGGCCACCTGGTAGTGGTGATTGGCACTAGTGAGTTTCGAGCTAGTTTGAATGTATTCCTTGTTCTGTGTGAATCATTTGCAGACTTGTTTGCTGGTTTTTAAGGTTTTGTTTTCTGTGAACCCTGCAGTTTTGCTGACTTTCTGGATGTTTTCCAGTGGGGTGGCAAATTGTCATTCACTTCCTGCATCTCTGTGAGGGGGGGGGGGGGCAGTTTCAGGCTCTGGTCCCCGATAGGCCAAACAACTTCTGCATCTGATATGACGTTCTACCATGGAGCAATCTCAGCCAGATAACTTCATGGAGCCAGTGGGGCTCTTCCTGATATAAGGAGTTTCATTACATTCAGTGTTGGGTTTTTATGAGGCAACCTTATGTGTTTTGACAATTGATACTAATAGTGTGTTTTGATAGAGGATAGAAATTGTTCTGTAACTACTGATCCTTTCACTTGTCGTACAACACATGCTATCCTCCTGCTGATATTTTCTGGTTGTCCTGTACATAGTTTACCTGTTTATAGCAATGCATTCCATTATTGCACAGTTTTTGATGCAAATAAACTCTCAGAATCAACACCAATTAATCCATTTCTAAAACATGTTCTATATTCAGCTCTATACTTAGGAATTGAGCAGTTTTTATAGTATCAGTTTCTTCAGCAAGAATTTTGTTATTTAACTTGAGTATAGTTAAATGAACCTGTTTACATTATTCTGTACAGTAGTATTATGTACATAATAATTGTGTATATAATAGAGAAACTAACTCTTCAAGGATATTAATAATTAGTTAGGTATGGTATCTCATTGCTATAACATACAGGCAGCCCTCTGCTTTTGCTGTATAGAATGTGGATTCAGTGGAATGTGAATAGGTACTTTAATACCAAGTTTTCAAGTGTGTGTCTGAATTTTGACATGTAGATTTCGTGTAGATTATCAGATGATCTTCTGGTCTACCACATTCTAGGTACAATACCAATATTGTGTTGGGCCTCCTCACTTCAGAGTTCGTGTTTTGCAAATTTGTTGAAATTATATTCCTGTATATATGTGCATCCCAAGTGCTCTGCATTTAATTATTTACCATTTTTGTGGCTGGATGTGGGAATGATCATTCAGTTTAATTAATGTTCTAATAGATGTTTTGTTCAGTAAATACAGTAGTGTTTTAAAGTGGACTTTTGGAGGTTTTTGTAACATTATCTTATTTTATCTGTATTCAGGTACCATTAGGTTTGATTTATACTGCTTTTGCTTTACCTGGATTATACAGGAACGTAATCATTATACAAACTGAGGCCTGCCAATAAGGGTGGGGGAAACCATTTAAACATTCTATACATGACGCCTGTACATTCATTATATGTAATAAGTACAGTATTGTAATTAAAAATTTTGCTCAATAGTTCTAGTAAAATTATTCTTAGTAAGAAACGTTTTAATTTTTCTCAATTTATTTGCCTCCTTTTAATAATTTAATGTTTTGGAGCATCTTAGAAAGTTTTTGTGATCCAAAAGTAACAGTTTGGGCTTTAATTTAACCCTTTGGTTGTACTAACATTGTGGCTTTTCTATCTACCTTCCTGCCATGACCCACCAGCCCCTGCCCACTACCTCTACCTGTTACACGCTCAACGTAAGTAGTGCGTACTGCTTCCACACCAATACTTTCATGGGTACTTAGTGGATAGGACTCCCTGATCATTACTTTAGTGGATACATAGTGGTTAGGGCTCCCGTATTATTACTTTAGTGGATACAGAGGGGATAGATTACACACAGAAATCACAATAGCGGGATGTATCAAATGAACAAATCTACAAGGGCCGAATCAACTGAGCTACGGCATGGTCAAAAGACCATGTCGTAGCTCAGTCGATTAAGGCAGCATCAGGGATACTCTCGGACGTAGGTCCAAATCCTCATCACGGCCCTAGTAGATTTGTTGATTTAAAGTGGATAAATCTTATCCACTTATCAATATTTTCCCTTATCAAGATCTCCCTTATCAAGATTTTCATGGATAAGTAGTGGAAAGATGCCACCAGATCAATATTTTCATGAAGTAAAACTGCCAGATAATATTTTCACTGAAAATTTAATACCGTAATATGGTAGAATTTATACAGCAGTGCATGGTAGTTGTACTAGTATTGTATTATGAAGTATTTTAGATAATGTCAGGTGTGCAAAGGCTGCATTATGGGTGAATGGTAATGTACAACAGTGAAACTGATTTTGGTTCTTATCTTTAAATAAAAGAGAGAGAGAGAGAGAGAGATACTTGTATAGAATGACGGCCTTAATAAATGTCTTAAAATGTATATACCTGTACAATACAGTACAGTATTGATAATGATATAGATTATGAATTGATGGAAATTGACACCATGAAATATGATTCTGAAAAATTTATTGACAATTTATTATTGTTTGAATCTATCTTAAACTCGTAATGCTTTCTTATATGAAGCTGAATAATTACAGTATTGTTAATAGGCTTGTTTTACTGATAGACAAATGGTCTTTCTTAGCAATTAGACACAGCTTGCAGTGCTGAAGAATATATGGCACTGCTCGATAAATACTAAACTGACCGAGTGATTCACTGTGGAGCACTGTTTAATGGTGTGAAGTTATAATTGTTATCTTTGTTGTCTTTGTTTTGTGTGTGGCTGCCTTCATGTGTCAATAGTTTCTTCAAATTGTCTTGAAAAAAGGTCAGTTTCTTAGGTGATGTGATGAAGTATTTTAATAAAAAGCACAGACATTGTTGGATGAAGGTTGATTATTATAATGTTGGAACTAAGGAACCAGCCTAGAAATAAGCTATTTGCTCAAATTGAACTAATATCATTAATTACAATATGTAAAGTAAGCCACTGGAAGTGTAGATATTAGTGAGGTACGAACCTAGGTATTGTTAGATACCTGTACTGGTACTGTTACCTTTGATAGCAATTGTAATAGATAAGCTCTCTGCTCAGCCCCACACACAGTTCCATTTTGTGTTGCTATTCACATCTAGTACCTGTACATCCCATTTGGTTAACACCCTGAAATTTATGTTTATAGTTTGAATAATGTAGTTGTATCAGATTTTAAATTCATCTGTTAAAATTTCATGAATTTATAATATGCAGCTTGTACTTGTGTACTTTTCATTCATGTAATGTATTTGTCAGCCCCCCCCCCAAAAAAAATGAAAAGATATATAGTAGAAATTCCCTGTTCCTTTTGTAGACAAATTTATCTAGTCATATTTTTTACATTTATCTAACACCAAAATATTTCAACTTTGAATTTATATTTTGTACTTTGATAGTGAGTGCTATAAATTAAGTATATATTTTAATGTAACAAATACTGTGCTTGGTTTTCCTTCCTCTTTCTCCTTTCATTCTTGTCTTCCATTAACCTTCACTGCCAATCTTCTGCCTTGGATGTTGTTGCACGGTGAGTTTCCCATCGTATTTTATGTGGAAGTTTATATGGGATTGTGTATAGTGACTATCAGCAGCCCTTCAGTATTTGTAGATAACTGTATGTAGTATTCGTTGCTTGTTGCATGAGTAGGTTAACTTTCTATTATTCATGGATTTTTTTCAGAATAGCAAAGCAAAATTATCAATTTATGCAGGGGTGTATTTAGGACTTTAATGTTAGAGGTTCATATAAACTATCTTGATTGCCTCACAGGCAATAGTAACAATCGACAAGTATTTGAGCTATTTCACTTGGATGATCCCTAAGGCAAGATCAATGATGGTCTCACTGAAGAGGATCATTCTGCAGGAATACAGAGGTCTGTCTTTTCAAATGTCCTTGTCGTGTCATAATGGTGCTGTGGAAGAACTGGAGAGAAGCCTGGTGTACACCAGTGACCCCATAAAGTTATCATAAACATCAGAGCCTTAAGAAACCCTCCTTGGTAACACAGGAACAACCATGTAGCACTCGCAAACAGTTACAGTGACAGTTAGTGACAACTCAGTGACAGTTTTCAGCTGTCACTGTGATGTGACAAGTTTTGAATTGTCACATCTTCTTGGCTGCTGCCCCTGACTTCCACCAGACGACAGCACCCATGGAGACATTTGATCTGCTTTGAGTGGGTTCGATATTAGATTCAGCTAAGTAGGTCCCCCCCCCTTTTTTTTATGACTGTATTGTGGGTTCATGCTTTGTACTTGCTAAGGTAGTATGTTTATTATTTGGAACATCTAACAAGTGTGACAAATCTTGAGTGTGACTTGTTTTCAACATTCTCTCTCCTGGTGCCATTTGTCCAGAACCAACGGCCTTCAGTGTTACTTTTTCTGTGGTTATTTGGTGACCTTCACTGTGGTCAAATTCAGAGTTTTGTCCACCCCCTTAGTGTTTTGCTTTATTTACCTACACTTAGAACTAGGACAAAGAGGCTCATTTGAGTGTTTGCATGGTTTACAGCTACCTACATGGCTGGTAGGTGGCTGCTGTTATGTTGTCGGCTTGTGAGATCTTTGTTGCCAAAGCCGTACGTTGCTAAAACATTTCTCCTGCTGAGAAATGTTTTGACAACACCCAAGTTGCCAAACAAATATCTGAAATGTCCTAACTAGATACTTTTCTGCTACCCACCACCACCAGGTGGCAATCTGTACAACACAGTCCCAGTGATGTAAGCTATGGTGTTCACACTCTTGCTTGGCACACATTGGAGGTTTATTGCTCCTGCAAACAGAATTCCTAATCAAAGAGTAGTTGGGTAATGATTTGTTAGATATAAGATCAGTACACATGAGCTGTGTGTGAGATCATGTTGATAAGATTGTATAATAAACTGTTTTCTCTGGCTGCCTTTGTCCATCTTAGCTTTCATTTTAGAATGCTGCTAGCAAATGCCTTTAACCACCAAAGTTATCTTTTGAGGCTTTTGTGTGCCTCCTTTGAGAAAGATTTGTTTTGTGTCAATCCTTTCTGGGTAGTTTTTTGGAATTATGGGTATGCATGCTGGTGTTGTCATAGTTTGTTTTAACAAGCTAGGACCAGTGCCACTCGTCTAATGTTTTGCATGAGACGAATTATTTATTTTCTCTCTCATCAGATGGTTTCTCCCATTGTATCATCCCGAGTGACTGTACCAGATTTGTGCGTTGAGAGCACTTATGTTCATGTAGAGATTACTCTTCTTTTTTTTTTTTTGACTTTCTCACTTTTTCCATTTGAATAGTCTTGCATTTGAGTCCTTTAGTTTGTGAATTTTATCTTAGGCAGTTGTATTGTCTCATGATTTAGTTCACTTTAGCTTTTGTTTCACAGTTCATTTTCTTGGCTTTGCTACCTTACCAGGACCCCCAAGTTGTTCAAGTTGCACTTGGTAGTAGTGGGAGGGAAAGATAAGTATCTAATTCAGTAAAATTTCTGGTTGCAATTCTTATACCATGTCGTAGCTCAGTTGATTAAGGCAACGTCTGGGATGCTCTTGGACGTAGGTTCGAATCCTCATCACGGCCCTTGTGGATTTGTTTATCTACCTAGGTATTTTTCAGTCTTGTTTGCCAGCATTTCTCTGATGGGGGTTTTGTAAATCTTTCAAGTCTGTTTGTATGCAGTTAACTTCAATAGTGGGTTAATTTATGATTGTCTCATGCTACCCCTGCTGCTTCACAGAGGGGACAAAATGGTTTAAAAACATGCTTGTCCTCGGTGGGCAGAGAGAAGTCATGAGGGAATGGCCTGAGAAGGCAGATTTACAGTGTTCTCAGGGAAGCTATATGGGGTGCCATCCAGAAAGGGACATTTCATTATACTCAAGACTCTGATTAATTAAGTTTGGTATTTCAGATTAATTGCCTGCACTAGCTTTTAGTGAGCATGTTACGGTGATATAATGAGGAACTGATTGGTACTGTTATAGGAGAAGTGGGGTAGTTGACAGTAATATAAGCATTTACCCAAGTTCTGATGTGGAATTATATGAGGTAATTGAGGCTCTTAGCTTCTTTATAAAGGCTAAACACAGAATTCAGATATCCAGTATATTCATTATTATTACCCTGTTCCCGACTTCAATAGAGTAGAGCATCATCAGCCTAGGGAGGATAGGGGAGACGTACAAGAAAGGAAGGCTAAAGAAATGAAAAATGACACCTATTTATGTAGATTTGTAAATTTAACTATTATATTGACTTCTTTCGATTAAATTTGACATAGTAAATTTGTTGAAATAAAGTGGTACTGTATTTGATTTGCTTGCACTCACCGAGAGCTGTTAATATTTGTCGAAAGTAGTCATTCATGGTTACAGATAAAATATCAATGGGTCTGAACTCCCTGGAAAATTGTATTTAATCTTCTAACAGCATTTACTCCTTAATGTAATGATATTTCTTATTGCGATAAAATTTAGTTAAACTGATATGGCCAAAGAACTAAAGACAGTTCCTGAGCCAGTTTAAACTGTTATGGCCTGATAATACTAGCAGTTCCTCCTCCAGTTCTCTAAAAGCTTAAAAATAATCTTTAAAGGTTGAAGTGATTCAGCAGTACTGTAGATGGAAAAATTGGATAAACCCATTTTAAAAGTACAGTAGTGGTCTTTTCTGGGAGGTGTTGCTCTATAGCTTCTTGAGCTATAGCACTGGGGCTGCCAAGCCTTAGGGAATTGCACGAGGATCCAGAGGTTTGCTCGATTCTACTGGAAGTCATGACCAGAATCTGGCTCTCAGGCAAGTGGAGCTTAGAGATTAATTCAAAATCAAAAGCAAACCACCAAAAGTATAAATGAATCAAAATGAGCAACTGCTCATTTTGAAATGAGCAGTTGAAAGGAAATTAAAAACCCAACTCTGAGGAAAACAAGGCAAACAATTGTTGCTGTGTAATAAACAGTTCAGCCATAACACGCCTGTCTGTCACCAGATGTCAGGCCAAGTCAACCAGGGTAACCACCAGCCAGTTACTCATTCACATTCCTAGTTCATCTAGTGTCGCACCTCTCTTAGACTACATTCAGCTTTCCACTAAGACGAGTGTCACTGGCTATTCTTGGAACACTTCAATATTTTTGGGGCCATTGCATTGTTTTGTTTAATTTCCTGCTTCATGTTTGTGTTGAACCTGGCTCCCAGAATTTTCACCAGACTTACTCAAGTGGTTATTAGGCATCTTCCCCTCTCTGCCACATTCAACTGTGTTCATTTGGGTCCTTGAACACTTTAATGGCCAGCTTGAACTTTACCTTCATGTTTACCCACTGGGGTGTGTCTGTCTTCAAAGGTGCTGTACCAATGAACATATCCACAAAGGCCGTGACGAGGATTCGAACCTACGTCCGGGAGCATCTCAGATGCTGCCTTAATCGACTGAGCTATGACACGGTAAAAGAGTTGAAACCGAAGTTCTACTGAACTTACTTTCAGTAAAACTTCGGTTTCAACTCTTTTTACCATGTCGTAGCCGAGTTGATTAAGGTAATGTCTGGGATGCTCCTGGACGTAGGTTCGAATCCTCGTCATGGCCCTTGTGGATGTGTTCATTTGATGCATCATGCTATTGTGATTTTTGTGTGTAGTGCTGTACCATGTTTTCCAGAGAGCATCCTTTTGTCACAATCAGTCTCATGCGATGCATGACTCGCCTTGCTTGTAAAAGATTTTGATTCATCATTTGGCTTTTTGGGGTTCAGTTCCATGGTAGATTTCTCCTCCGTTGATTGATCTGTTCACAGATGCATCAGAACTCAAATGGGGATTCATTTTTCAGAATTCTGAGGCGATTAGGCATCCTCTTCCTGGACTGGGGTCATGGTCTTATCAGGATGGTTCAGTGTTCTCCATCAATATCTGTGTGGTGTTTTTAGTCCTTGTTTACTGTCACCTGTATTGGAGGTTGAGTATCAGGCCTATTGGCACACGCTAGAAAATTAAAAAATGACGACAACAACAACTATTAGTTCTGTTTGTGTTGAAGAAGGTTGTCTGGCATGGACCCTGGGTGATGTAGCCTGCAATAATTCAAGTGAATTATAGCAGGGGGGGGGGGAATCACCTTGTGTCAACAACCGGCTTGCCTGTTTTCAAGACACTGCTTGAAAGCAAATCTCATTGGCTTTCAAGCAGAGTCTTGTTTTGATGTACACATTCTCTTTGGTGGGTTTGCTCTTCATTTTGGGTTGATCTCTGATCCCCAATCTCCCCTAACATGAAAGAGAGAGAGCGAACCAGAACCTGGTCATGGCTTGAGTGGGTCTCAGAATTCTGGTTTGATTTACTAAGGCTTGGCGACCCCTTTGCTGTAGCTTGGGAAGCTACTAAGTCACTCACCAGGACGAGATGTTTCATTATATTCAGTGCTTTATTTTTTATTTACTACTACAGGATTTACTAAAACAACTTATTGAAGTTATTTCCCATTCCATCGAAGCCAATTTGCATGTTATTAGAGCACATTGATACAGTATCTATTATATATTTATAAGTATTCTGTAAGGCTTCTGCGCTGAATGACCACTCTAAACTGCCACTTATATTTGCTTAAAATAAATATTACTTTTGTGATATATAATTAATATTTTTAGTATAACTTTGGTACACATTAATGTCTGTTAGTTGTTCAAAATTATTTTATATTTCATGTAATTAGCAATGAACAGCATTTGTTTGTATTTACCAGGGCTGCTCGCAGTACCGGCCAATGTCGGTGGTGATGGAGGGTCCACAAGATCGTCTCTCAGTGATGCTTCAGCCATTAGTGGTTCTTCCACACGGACATATGTTAATGAAGCTTCCACACTCATTATTGAGACCAGTGAAAATGGTGTCTTTAAGTGAGTATTTGGTTAACTTATTGGGTATCCAGAACAGGTGTTTGTACTGACATTAATAAGGTTATTTGTTTATTTGCACAGGGAAGAATTGTTTGGAGTTATTTTAAATACATTTGTGTTGGGGGCTGTTGAATATGATGATGGTAAAATAGACTTACAGGAGATATTTTTGCATGGTCCTTGTATCCTTGTTTCAATGGGAAACTATATTTTGTGATTTTTCATTACTAAGTATTATGTTATGTTATAATTATATCATCTTTCCACAGACATTACCTGATTCCTTTGGCACTACAGCAAAAGAGCAAGTGGAGGAAGAAAGGCTTAAAACTTCACATCTTCGGAGAACACACTTTTGTCGCCAAACACATGTCCAGGTACTTGAAGTTTTATTATGGTATACCTGTTGTAACCATTACTGCAGTGGTGTTTTAGAGTTTTGAATTTAAATTGTTCAAAATTTTATTAATCCATATTTAAAGTATTTTGCATATATCACACCATTTTCAGAGCCAAGGCCCATTGGTGGCTCCCCTTGAACCAATGGTCTATATGGGCCCATAGACACACGTTCTGCCAGTCAAACTGTCATTTGTTCACCCATCATGACCAGTAACTTTTCAAATAGTCGGGGTCACATTGTTGGAAACAGTAGACCATAGCCAATCTGATTCGAGCTACCACAGAGATCAACTCACTATTACTCAATCGCTTTCCCGTATCCATGTTTGATTCCTTATGTTGGGTATAGTACTTGTTTCAATGGTTCACCTTCCTATGATTTTGTCATGGGCAGAGCCCCATGTGCCCATTTGAAAAAAAAATAGATGCCTTGCTTTATTTTTAAATTAAATTCTGTTTAATATTTTACAGGTGTTTTATGCTGCTTGTTTTTTCCCTTTCCCCTTCCCTTTATATGGCAGGAGTTTGTTGTTTTGGTTCAAACCTTGTGTATGTTATCAAATTCCTTAAAAAAAAAAAAGGATTATAATCCTGTTGCTCATTTTTTTTTATATAGAGTATTAACAAGCTGGTCTCTCAGTACTGGCTCGAGTTAGATTAGTCATGGTTTTCCTTCATTGGTTGTGTGAGCAGCTACTTAAATATTTAGTGGTTATGGTTGATGAATAAGACATTAGAGCTTTACAGGCAGAAAGTGCATATGTAGACTCGTGTATGTCACGTGTTTAAGGAAGCAACCAAGAGATTGGCTCAGAAAGAGTTTCACTGGAGCCAAAACCATATTTTGTGTGTTATAGTAGGTGTTTAGTACATTGTAAATATGCAATGTAATATGCAAAAAAAAAAAAGATTTAAAATACAGTTTCCTCCCTAACGAAGTAAAGAAGTTGGAAGCATTATGGTATTCAAAAGTAATGTTAAAAACACTGTTTTTGTAGTACTGTCTACTATCACTTCCTCAGTAGTATATAAAACTTCCTCTTTGTGGTAATTTATCTATTATATTACCAAAACTACTTGCTCTATCATCAATATCAATTTTAATTGCCTCCTTTTCCTAGTACTAATTTCATTCTCTTCATATCAAAATTTAAATGCACTGCAAACTTTGCCTTTATCACTTAATTATAAATATCCAATGTATAGGCCGTAATATGATCCTAGTGTAGGTTTACATTAGGCTGTAAATCCACAGTAGGATTATATTACAGCCTAGGTGTAAACCTACAGTAGAATCCTATTACAGCCTAGTGTAAACCCACAGTAAGATCATACTACAGCCTAGGTATATATCCTACTCTAGGTTTACACTAGACAGTAATATGATCCTACTGTAGGTTTACACTAGGCTGTAATATGATCCTACTGTGGGTTTACACCAAGGCTGTAATGTGTTCCTACTGTGAGTTTACACCTAGGCTGTAATATCTTACCGCAGGTTTATATCTAGGTGCAGTGAAAGCTTGTGTGCGTTCTTGCAAATGAAGACGACTATGACTGATTCTTAATGATATTAATAGCGATCTTTCCTATATGCTCAGTTCAACGCCTTGTGAAGTGTGTCAGAAGACATTAGGAAGAAGATTTGGCAAACAAGGTTATGTGTGTCGTGACTGCGGCTTCAAGTGTCATAAGCCGTGTCATGTTAAGACAGAAGCGGTTTGTCCCAACTCGACTGTCAACACAATGGACCTGTAAGTTATTTTCTTGCTCTTTTTTCCCCCATACTTTTAGCTTACAGCTTTATGAATTATATAATTATTGCTTAACCCTGGTGATATGCATTAGTGCTGTGTGATGATTGGTGACATGTTCTAGTGCTACATGATGATTGGTGACATGCACTAGTGCTACATGATGATTGGTGACATGTTCTAGTGCTACATGATGATTGGTGACATGCACTAGTGCTACATGATGATTGGTGACATGTTCTAGTGCTACATGATGATTGGTGACATGTTCTAGTGCTATGGTGACATGTTCTAGTGCTACATGATGATTTGTGACATGCACTTGTGCTACGTGATGATTGGTGACATGTTCTAGTGCTACATGATGATTGGTGACATGCACTAGTGCTATATGATGATTGGTGACATGCACTAGTGCTACGTGATGATTGGTGACATGCACTAGTGCTACGTGATGATTGGTGACATGCACTAGTGCTACGTGATGATTGGTGACATGTTCTAATGCTACATGATGATTGGTGACATGCACTAGTGCTATGTAATGATTGATGACATGTACTAGTGCTACATGATGATTGGTGACATGCACTAGTGCTACATGATGATTGGTGACATGTTCTAGTGCTACATGATGATTGGTGACATGTACTTGTGCTACATGATGATTGGTGACATGCACTAGTGCTACATGATGATTGGTGACATGCACTTGTGCTACGTGATGATTGGTGACATGCACTTGTGCTACGTGATGATTGGTGACATGCACTAGTGCTACATGATGATTGGTGACATGCACTAGTGCTACGTGATGATTGGTGACATGCACTAGTGCTACATGATGATTGGTGACATGCACTAGTGCTACATGATGATTGGTGACATGCACTAGTGCTACGTGATGATTGGTGACATGCACTAGTGCTACATGATGATTGGTGACATGCACTAGTGCTACGTGATGATTGGTGACATGCACTAGTGCTACATGATGATTGGTGACATGCACTTGTGCTATGTGATGATTGGTGACATACACTAGTGCTACATGATGATTGGTGACATGTTCTAGTGCTACGTGATGATTGGTGACATGCACTAGTGCTACATGATGATTGGTGACATGCACTAGTGCTACATGATGATTGGTGACATGCACTAGTGCTATGTAATGATTGATGACATGCACTTCATCTACGTGGGGGCCTCGTAGCCTGGTGGATAGCGCGCAGGATTCGTAATTCTGTGGCGCGGGTTCGATTCCCACACGAGGCAGAAGCAAATGGGCAAAGTTTCTTTCACCCTGAATGCCCCTGTTACCTAGCAGTAAATAGGTACCTGGGAGTTAGTCAGCTGTCACGGGCTGCTTCCTGGGGGTGGAGGCCTGGTCGAGGACCGGGCCGCGGGGACACTAAAAAGCCCCGAAATCATCTCAAGATAACCACTCAAGATAACCTACATGATGATTGGTGACATGTACTAGTGCTATGTAATGATTGATGACATGCACTTCATCTACATGATGATTGGTGACATGTACTAGTGCTATGTAATGATTGATGACATGCACTGTAGTGGCTCTTGGGGGGGGGGGAGTGGGGGACTGTTTGACAACTTGGTGCCTAGTGACACATTCTTCAATTTCACATTTGCCTTCATTGTTATTTTACATGTATTAACAAAACAGTTAATTTTATTATTAAGCTTTGTTTCCCAGCTTGTATTTTTTCTTGCATAATAGGTGAGAAAAATGCTTCACTTTTTTCTAGCGATGGCATTTAAATTAAAAAAAATTATTTAGAAATGTTCTTAGATTAACACTTTCGTTTCCCGACGATGTTGGTGACGTTTATCCCTGCCGAACGGATGTCCGCCAGGGACGGCAGGGATGTCCTAAATTAATATATTTGTTAAAAATCTATTTGTTTTCCGATCATTATGGGATGAGTTTTAAAATGCGCACCTTTAGATTGTGAACCACTTGATACCAGATTGAGCGACGTAGCTTGAAAATTGAGGTGAGAAAACTAATCAGAGTATGCACATTTTAGTGTGGGTGTGCAGATGGGTGCTTGCTCATGGATAATGCTCGGCGGGCTTTCTATTTTGCTTTGGGTATTGTTTATTTTTATCTTACATACATATATCCCTTTAGAAAATTCTATTGTGAACAAATTGATACCAAAATGAATGATGTAACACGAAAATTGCCAGGTAACACTCACGGGTAGCACTCGGCTGATTTTCGGGTTTGCTGCAGGTGGCAGCAAACCCGAATTTTTTTTTACCTTATATGCATATATCCCTTTCGAGAATTCTATTGCAAACGTTTTAATACCAAAATTAATGATGTAGCATGAAAATTGATGTGATAAAATGCATTTTATTGTGTATGTGCGGATGGGTGCTCACTTACAGGTAACGCTTTGTCGATTTTCGGGTTTGCTGTGGGTGGCATGCCAGGCTTTTTAACGTTATATGCATGTACCCCTGTAGGCAATTGTATTGTGAACAATTTGATATCAAAATGAACAATGTACAACGAAAATTGAGGTGAAAAAACTGAAAAGAGTATACACATTTCAATGCTCTTTGCTCGCTCCCTGGTAATGTTTGGCAGACTTTCAGCTTTGCTGGGGGAGGGGGGGCAGGCTTTTGGACCTTATATGCCTATACCTCTGTGTGGAATTCTATTGCGAACAAATTGATACCAAAATGAACGACATAGCATGATAATTGGGGTGAGAAAATTGAAAAGAGTATACACATTTTAGTGCTCTTTCGCGCTTAAGGGTAATGCTCGGCCGATTTGCGGGTTTGATGTAGGTGGCACACTGGGCTTTTGGACTTTATATGCATATACCACTATAGAGAATTCTATTGCAAACAATTTAATACAAAATGAACGACGTACAACAAAAATTGAGTTGAGAAAACTAAAAAGAGTATACATATTTTAGTGTGGCTGAGCTCTCACAAGAAACACCTGCCCCACCTTGAGGTAGGCTGGGGCCCATGCGCTGGGAGTGGCAAAGTGTTAACCTTTAGCTATTTTGAGTGTTGTTAGTATTCAGATTTGATCTTGCATGTTGAGCATTACATTATGAAGCAAGGTTCGGTATGGATATTTGGGCTGTAGATGTGTTGCCTGCCAAATTTGGTTTTTCCTGTATGTAGTTAGCATGCCTGTAAATACTGACCTCAAATTATCCCAGTTATATACAGTACAGTATAGTGTCACTCAAATGGAACAATTAATTCCAGACCCCATTCTATTGCAAGAATAGTTTTTGTCGCATCCTAACTTACAATTTTTGTGGAATTGTTTGCTCCGCATTATTTTGTTTGTATTGGTACAAATGATAGAACACACTATTGCATGTATTTTATTATTAAAATTGCTTGGAAAAAGTACACGTCTGAGCTCTCTCTCTTGAATGTTCTTTAGGGCAAGGCCCTTCCTGATTCCATTGTAAAATACTGAGTCAGGGCAGGCCAACATTTTGCATCAGCACAGCAGGGATCTATCACAAAATCCCTTTCGGGGTCATACTGGCATTAGGGAGGCAGTGGGGAAATAATCCAGCCCAAAATTATCCCTATAAGGTTCATTTATAAACAAAGCCCTTCCTAGGTTTTGCTTGGTCCCAGGGAACACTTTATATTACTCTCGCTAACTGGCAGCCGACAGGCAGGTTACTGCCCTCATACGAGGAGGCAAACAGTGGTTCCTTATTGTTAGCCATTGAGATACCTCCACATGTACAAGTCACAGCAGCCTTAGGAGCCCTGGACAGGAGACCAGAGGCCAAGACCAAGAGGCCAAGATAATATTCAATTATCTGTCAAACAGAATGAAAAGAGTAACAGTCAATCAAATAAAATTGACTCCAAGCCCAGTGAAAAGCTCTATACCTCAGGGCACAATCCTTGCACCACTGTTTTCCCTATTCTCATATCAGATATAAATAAAAAATCAAGTATCAACTTCATGACATCTTTTGCAGATGACAAAAATCAGCATGAAAATTACTGATATAGAATGCATTGAAAACCTTTAAGCAGATATTAATACAGTTTTTAATTGGGCAACAGAAATCAACGATGGTTTAACAGTGAAAAATCCCAGATCCTTAGGTGTGGTAAAAATGAAGATCTTAAACAAAATTTGACACAATTAAATCTACTTATAGTAGGAAAGCAACATGTAAAGCATCTGGGAATAATGATGTCTGATGACTCACACTTAGGGAGCATAACCAAGCACATACAACATCAGCAAGAAAAATAATGGGATAGATTATAATCTTCAAATCCAGGGGTCCCATCACAGTGCTCATACTATTCAAATCACTTGTGCTGTCCCACCTTAAATAGTGCTCGATACTTGCTTTCCCCTTCAGAGCAGGGGGAAAGTGCTCTGTTCCACAGGGGTCTCATTACAGTGGATGTGTCACTGGGGGAGGGAGGGGCCTAATTTCAGAGGATGTTCCACTGGGGCCTCATTTCAGGGAATGTCATGGGACCTCATTCCATATGTTGAGTTGTTTATGGAGTGTGGCATCACAAGTTGCTTCTGTATGTACCTTACCTTGAGGTGTTTCCGGGGCTCAGCGTCCCCGCGGCCTGGTCGTCGACCAGGCCTCCTGGTTGCTGGACTGATCAACCAGGCTGATTTTACTACTGCTGTTTTTTTACTGTAGCTGCTAAATGTAGCTGCATTCTATAATTATGAAACTGTCATAGTGGTGGAGGCTCTGGACACACCTTATGTTTCCTCCAGTTTTGATGCTTTTATTGGTCTTGTTGAAGCTGGAGATTTTTGTGGGCTGTGTTTTCTTGGTCACTTCCTTGTGGTCTGTCCAGCATTGGTTCCCCATTCCTTCTCTCCATATACTTCAATTTCAGCTGTATGTTAGACCTACCCTCCGCACACACATTGATCTGTGCGTGCGGAGCTTCTTGTTACCGATCTATCACCATTGTTACATATATAG